TTCAAAATAGTTAAAATTTTACTTTAAAATACTTTTTTTCATGAAATCGACTTACAACTAGTACATTTTTAAGTTTTAATCCGCAAAAATCGCGAACATTTTGTGGTCACGCGATACTATTTTTCGTTGATTTTCGAAGTGTATTTAAAATTATTCAGAATAAACACTTTAGTGATTACAATATATTATAGAAAAATTTATGATTTTTCTTTTGATATTAATTTTGTTCTTAAAAAATTGACCTACAAAAGCACTTCTTTGAGATTAAAATCGAAAAAACCGTGCAAATTTCGGAGTATTGCGACACTAAATTTGGTTATTTTCGAATTTTATTTAAAATTATTTATAGTTTACCCCTAAGCGAATACAAAATATTATTAAAAAAGTTATGGTTTTTCTTTTGATATTAATTTTGTTCTTAAAATCGACTTACAAGTAGTACTTTTTCGAGTTTAATATCGAAAAAACCCTGCAAATTTCGTTATCGTGCGTTACTATTTTTCGTTTATATTCGAATATTAAAAAACTTTATTCAATTTAATCTCTTAAGCGAACATTAAAAGTTATGTAAAAAAAACTTTTCTTTTGATTGGTATTAGTATTTTTCTTAAAAGTGTTTTGATTGTGTTTTAATTGTAAACACTAATCACTGTAACTTGATTTTTACAAAATCTAAACCATAACTCCTCAACATTAAACATGTAAACTAAAACCAAATTAATGTTTCACTTACATGAATATTTTTATTAATTTGTTTATAATTTTATTATTTTGTATATTATTTGAATTTTATATTGATTAAAAGTAGCGGTCTCCGAACTTTGCCGGACTACTTAGAAATAGTAAAAATGATCATGGCCCCTCCACTCTTATACCTTTTCGTACATCATTATTTTGTTTTTATTTATACTACTAGCTGTTCTGAGCCCAGCATTTTCATTCATTTTACCTGTATTTCCATATTGCTTTGCCCATATCAGTAAATCCAACAAAAGAAAAATGGTCGAATAGTTCAATGGACTAAAAGTATTCTAGTGTGTCATTCTTATTTTCATCTATATTACCATAGATACTCACACAACACATTATTAAACGTTATTTAATTATATAATATCCACTATAATAACGTTAAAATTATGAGGATATAATAGTATACTCTAGTGTTAATGTACCAAAAAATACAAATATTCAATGACAATGTTTAACGTATTTTCAATTTTCACTTAACCACCCAGTACAGCGCATAGTTTTATATTTTTTTCTTCAACCATGTTATCATATTCTTGATAGGTATATAGTTATACCTATTACTAAAACCTTCATACCTGCCTACCACATTTGTAATATAAAATTGGAAATATTATAATTATTTATTTATCTTTTTGAACCTGGTGTAGTCATCTGCAATGTATTTTTTTTAAACCACTTTAAACTCACTTCTCAAATTTATTTTCAATAAACCTACATTATTTCCTAAAATAAAATGATTTAAAGAGTTAAATATATTAAATTTAAAATCATTTTACGCAAAGAATATTTGTCTATTATTTTATAAAATAAAATTATGCATTAATGTTCCATGTCATATTTACTACACTTGCTTTAAGGTAAATACTAATACTATTATCTATAAAATGAATACTATATTTGGGAAACAAAGTCCTAAATATAATTTTATTCAATTTTGTAATAATTATAATTTTAATATTCATAATGTATATAAATTATAAAACTTATGTTTTGTTTCAATAACTGTTATGTTAAGTTTCTTTCTTTATTAATATCTAAATGCAAATAGCTATATTAGCTCTATTATTATGTAAAATTTAAATCTTATTATATGTCCCAGCTCTAGGTTAAAGTCTTAAGCACAGTTTTATTTATGCTAGTAAAAGTTGTATGGTAATCTACGTTATTAAATTGCAGCTCACAAATGTATGTTGCCTTGGTTATATTAAATTATAAGTCATTGTCACAAATTTATGTGATCTATTTAGTCCAAAGTTTTACATTTTTTGGGAAAACTCCTGAGAAAATCAAAAAATGACCTCTTTATAGTACCTCCTCTGTCAGATTCTCTTATAGAAAAAGTGCTTTCATTGTAAATCAGAACAAAATTGTTGGTATATAAGTTCTCCGTAGAAAAAAAGACAGTATATTTTACTAATACATTTTGTATATTTTCCGCGTTTTTTACATTTCTTGAGAAAATCAAAAAAATTACCTCCCTTAAAGTACCACTTTGGTCTGATTTCCAGATAAAAATTGTACAACACTTGTATATTTTAATTCCTTTTCCAACTGTAGTCTCACATCTTTTTATTGATCAGTGTTTACTAACTATTTTAAATATTTATAATAATATTAGATGATACTAATAAAATGTCAACTAAATTAAACAAGGCAAATTTTTTTAAAAACTCAATAGGTATATTGTGCACTAATAAATTATAAATAAATAAACTAAAATTTAAAATAAATAATATAAATCAAAATTTTCAAATGATTATAATATATCTTCATCGTGGAATAAAAAAAAAAGTTTTTATTATTTTTGCCATGATTGTTTTTCTCTGGTTATATCTTGCCGACGTCAACCTATGTTTTCTTTCTCTATGCCTAATATATATATATATATATATATACACATATTAAATATATGGCAGAATTCATGGGACACTCTGTATACCTAAATACATTATATTTATTAATTACATAAATAATATTAACAAAATTATTATATAATATTAGTATAGATATAGTATTGTTTATCTATCTTTGAAAATTGATAAATATCTGAATAATAAGTGCTTACTTAGATACTTAAGAATATTAAATGTTTATCAAAGTGAAAATACCTACTTTTAATTACTCCTTATTATTCTGACGAAAGCAACCTTATGTACATTATAATAATCAATTTCTTATCAGATGTAAAAGGCCTTACTAGTAAGTAGTAATTACGACGCACATTTTTTTCACAGACATTACGGTTTCGTAATTTTCGCAACTTCGCAAGTAACATCACCGTTTTTTCATTTACATTCACCTTCCGACATTCTAAGTAAGTTATTTTTATGGTTTATTGTATATAAGTCGATGTTAGATATCTTGGCGTTAGCTGGTAGTGAAAGTAGTGTCATTATTTTGACACGATTACCTATGTCGCTCAACAACAATGTAAATGTGAAAACGCAATGGCGTAATTAGGAATTTACTTGAAAGGGTGAGATTATATATGTGTATATTTTCAACTTGAGTATTCAACAGAGTAAATTTAGTAGTATAGTAATTTCGCAAAAATATTTGAAAAAATAATTAAATAATGATTAATTTCGTTTCTAGAAGACAGCGAACTCTTATCCAAAAATCAATATGGATTTACACCGGTTATAGATATTGAACTAATTAAAATAACATAATTCAATTTATCAATAAAGAATTAGATAACAATAAGAAAGTGATTGCAGTGTTCCTGAACTTAACCAAGGCTTTTAATACTGTTAATTACAATAATCCATTTCAGATATTTTGTTACTTATGCATTAACAATCTTAGCTTTAATTGGTTTTAAAGCCACTTAGCAAATAGAAAAAAAATGTTCAGTATCAATGACATTACAAGTCAGGAAGGTATAATTGAATATGGAGTTCCTCAAGAAAGCGTACTAGGTCCTATTTTATTTGCATTATATATCCACGCAGTAATTGAATTAATCATGAATTGTTTAATTTTTCTATATGCTGATGATACCTGTCTGCTTTTCACCGATGAAACTTGGAACGAGGTTCTTCACAAAGCGGCTGTAGGTTTAAATAGTATACATCAAATTCTATGTGACAAAAATTTGACGCTTATCAAAAAATAAACAATATTTATGACTCAATTTACAAAAGCTTCCTAACACTTAATCTCTTCATAATACATAGTTGTTTCGATGGTGGCAGTTGTATTGACTAAATTAGTTTTCTAACTATCACAGAAGTTACAAGTACACAATATCTAGGTATCATATTTTATAAAAGTTTACGTTGTAATCTACACATATATAATCTGGTAGGAAAGTTACGCCAATTAACATATAAATTTCACAAAATAAAAGACATATTTTCTAAACAAACTATGCAGGTAATATATTTTGTGTTATACCGATCAATTATTCGATATGGTTTGTTACATTGGGGTGATTTAGTAGATTGTATTTTAAATTAACTACAAATAAACCAGAATAATATAGTAAGAATTTGCTCAAATAAGTATTCATTACAAGGTTCTACCTCACATAATAATAGGGGGTTGGGTGTACTACCAGTTAAATTTCTAAATAAAATATTCCCGTTCACTTTTAAAAAGTTAAGAAATGCTATAATGGTCTAGATCTTGAGGACAAAAGAGAAAATAGACAGTATAATTTACTAATTGAATATTTTTGCAAATTTGTTGGTCAACCTTATGTAAACTATCTAGGCTCTGTGTTTTTAACTCTATGCCTTGCTAATGTAAAAAAAAATAATGTTAAAAATTAGTTTATAACTGATTGTTTTCTCAATTAGTTTAAGTTGTACATATATTCTATGTTTATATTGCTTATTATTTGTATATTCTTTTATATTATCTTTTTTTTCTTTCTTGAATTTTTTATATAATTTTCGTATTATATTATACTTGATACTTAAATTTTAGTTAAAATTGTTTTACTCTCTATCTTTAATGTTAGCTATTAGCTTAAAAGAGATATATAATTATGTATATTATTTAAAATTGTATTTCTTTGTAAGTAGAAACATAATTTTTTAAATTATAATTAATTAGTTAACTAAATACATATTAATTTATAAATATGGTAAAATAAGAAATAGGTAGGTTCCTAGTTTATAAAATATTTTTGTAAAATTAGATGAGGTTTTTTGAAATTATTATCTATTATATATTCAGAATTAATTGAAATCTGTCAATATAGTTAATCCTTTTTAATTTATCCTGAAAAGGTTTTAAATCTGTATTAATAATTTAAAATATCGAACAAAAATTCTATGATAACAACTTGTATTCTTTATTTAGAGAATTACTAATGATAGTACAGTTAAAGTTAAGTTATTTATTTTACTATTAACTTCCACAAGAATATTACACCTACCTAATTAATTTTAATTATTTATTTAGTAATTCAAATAATAACTTTTTCGGTTTTGAGAATATTTGTTTTCCTGCCTGTTGATACGCTTCTGTTTCACTGATTCTTTTTGATATTTGTTTAATTCTTCAAATTTTTCTCACAGAAGGTCATATAATTTTTGAATTTTGTTTGTATGCTTAATTATTATGTGTGTTAAATACCCACATTTTGTATAATAAAAATTAACTCTAGTTGGGACTTTTTTTTATTATATTTTTTTGTTATTTATAGTGAATTTATTTACATCATACATAATAAATCTATTTTCTTATCACTATTAATCATTTATATAATTAATAAGGTATTATTAATTAAGGACATTTTTGTTTAAATAAGTAATATTGGTACCTATTAATGTGTTCGATTTTAAGTAGCATCATTACCAAACGAATTAGGATTATTACACATCTATTTATTTATGTATACAATTATTCCAATGTATTAATGTATAATCATATGCTATTATTTATTATTATAGATTGAAATTTATTATTGTGCACATTGCCTGTAGCATATGATTTATGACTATTTTAAATTAAAATTTAAAACATGTAATGTATAGTGTATACAATAATTAAAATCCTATTTTGAATGTCCATTATCCACAGATACATTATGCCGGCAGATAAAAATAATCCATTTTTAAAAGTCAAAAGAAAAAAAAGAAAGAAGAGAATCTATGTTAAACCTGATGTTAAACTATATTGTCCTTCGGCTATGATAAGGTATGATGGTGGTACATGTGGGTATTCGACTATGTGGGTGTGCAAAATGTGTTTAGCCTGTTGTTTAACTGATGTGGCTGCTACTCAACATTCCTTGGCTTGTAAGAAAAGTATAAAAGAAAGTTGGAAAAATATTCCACCAAAGTAATACTTCATAATAATTGCTACTAACTAATTATTAATATTAACCTAAATATTATATTATATTTTATATTTTCAGAGAAGTGCCTATGTCATACTCATGCCATGTTTGCAATCGTATTTTTTCGCGTAAAGTAACACTAAAAAAACATTTAGTAACCCATGATCAAATTTCTAGTGAAAATGAAATAATCGAATCTGATTCAGAAAAAATTGTACAAAAAAAAAGAAGGGGAAGAAAGAAGACAAAAGCAGTTGATCCAGATTTTGTTGCTGAAATAATAAAAAAGATTCCAGAGTCTACAAATTCCGATGATAATTTAAACACCAGTATTCCTGGTGCATCAAAAGTGTCTTACTAACTAAACTAATATACTTCATTAAGATATAAACATATTCAAATCAATTTAATGTAGTTTTTAATAAGTACCTATTGTATTCACAATATATATTCTGGTAACTTCACATTTTTTTTTTAAATTTCACATGTAGTTTAATTAAAGTATTAGAATTTCACTTTTTATTAAAAAAAAAAAAAGTAATAATAATTTAGAGAATAATGTTAAATAATTAAATAAATTTGAGCAACATAAAAGTATTTTTTTGCCATAGTATTGTATTATTAACATAACTTTTTCAATATAAACTTGATATAAATACATTTAGCCTATTTTATACTATAGGCTAAGTTTTTATCTTAATAATTGTTTTATATTTTAAATTGAATTCATTAACTTTCATAGATTTTTTTTTATTTCCCAAACTTAGTATTCTCATTTTGAACTAATATATAATTATATACTTTGTTTGTGTGTTTAAAATATTGAAAATAATTTAATATAGTTTTTGTATACTAACATAAACATATTTTTTAAAATATTTACTATTAATAATCATATTGACTAAAGCAGAACGCCTTCTGATTAAGTTATAAAAGATATATATTGACTTAAGTTGTTCATTTTCTCAACATAATAAAATAAATTATAATTGTATAGTTTGTTCTTAAATAGTGAATGAAGATAATTAGCTATGTAAAATTAGTATTTATGCCATGTGATGGTTTTTTTTTTTTAGATTCAAAAGAGGGGAAAAAAATATTGTTATCAATCGAAAAGAGGCGATACTGGAAATGGGTCTGCCACTGTTGGTGGGAAGTTAGATAGGTTATAAGATATTATAGAATTATTTAATTTATATCTGTACACAACATAAACCATTGCTAACAAAAATTATTTCTCAATTGCTTTTCTTTATAATAAATAGCCAATTAAAGATTTTTGTTATCTACATACATATATAATTTTAAAATGATAAATATCTTAACATTTTATTTTATTTTCAAATATAAATGTGTGTAACATGTTTTCAAAAAAACATTTCTCACTCAAATAAATTTTTAGTTTTATATAATTATGATTTTACCTTTAATTCTTGATATATTTCTGAATCTAAAGTATTATGTAGTAGTATTTAGATATGCTTAATTCTATCTTTGTACTGTCTAGTACAGGACCAAATAGCATTCTGCTCTTATTTTAATGTCATATAATTTTACTCTGACTAAGTCACTACTTCTTTAGTTTGTAATTTTTTACTGGTACCTTTCCAAACATTTGTAAATAATTTTTTATTATACTAATATTCAAATCTAGAAATAATGTTAAAAAATAGACCAATATATAAATTGAAGAGATCTGTGTAATAACCAGACAGCTCCATTTTTAGCAAAATTTGTATACTCATGTTTTTTTAAGAGAAAAAATTGTGAGATCTTTTGTTGAATTTTTAATCCAGTAAGTGACCAGAAGAGTTTATCAATTTTCTTTTATAATTGAGCTAAATCAAAAATATGTAAAAAGAACTAGACAATTAAAGAAAATAAATCTTTTATAATTATGTTAAATCTCGTTTTATTTCATTGTAATTCAGTTAAAAATATTTTCGTGGAGACTTGAAATTTCGACAGAAAACTTCTATTTGCTTGTTATAGTCGTGGTAACAATTTCAAAACATTTGAGCTATTTTTGAGTTATTTATAGGCATTTATATTTTGCGAGTTTTTTATGCAATTTTTATTTGATAGTTATGTAGTTTGTGGATAAAAATGTTAGACTCGACAGAAATACAAATTTCACAGAAGGTTCTTTATGTGTCGTACTTAGTGGTAAAAAAAAAAAAAAGCATAAATAATAAATGTTTATGAAGTTTAGAATATCGGCGTTTTTTTCCGCGTCAAAAGTAATGAAATATGCACACAACGCGCGTATAGATAATAAATATCAATAGAATTAAAAAAAAAAAAAATACCTTGTTAACAGCAAGCGAACAAATAAAAACATCATTATCATTAACGTAGTTTGTACAGCTACGGCGGCATGCTTAAGACCGTACATAATGTGATATTGTTCACAGTTATTTTTTTTTTTTTTGACGGAGAGAAAAAGGGTCACGAAATGGTCAGACTGCGGTCACGGCGGTGACGGTAGCGGCTGGATTTAATATAAGTACACGCGCCATACGGCCATCGATCCGCGCACGCTCTTTGGCAGTGCGGTCACAGCACGGAATATTGTAGGCTGCAGTCCGCGACTGGCGTACCTATAATATACACACAATGACGGAAGGGAAAAAAACTGCGTGCCGGGCAATTGATTTTTCCGGTTTTTCTGTGCTCTTTCGATTCGTCTCGTCGCGTTGACCGGTACCCGTATACCGCGTGCGTACCGTTATTGCGCCGGAAAATTCGACCGCGACGACTACGGTATAGTACCTACCTACCTACCTATACCGTTATGGTGTGCGGCGGTGACCACGACGACGATGACATACACGACGGGTGTTCGGGGGATAATCTGCAAGTGCTCACGCGCGGTAATACGGACCAGCCTTTCAAACCGTTGCTGCAGGCGATTCAGAGCGGCGACTACGAACAGTTCGAGGCCGCCGCGCAAAAGTACGGCAATGAGGCGCTGTGCTTTCGAGACGAATGGGGCTATACGCCGGCCCACTGGGCCGCGCTCTACGGGAACGCCGAGGCGCTCAAGTACTTAGTGGCCCGGGGCGTAACGGTAGACACGTCGTGCTACGGGATCCAAGGTTCCAAGCCCGTGCACTGGGCGGCTCGCAAGGGGCACACGGCGGCCGTACAAGTACTGTTGCAGGTAACCGCAATCACGCCGCGCCCCGGCCGACGTTATGTTATACTCAGTACCGTTCTCAGAATAGTTTTACCGTATAAATGACAACGCGGGACACTGTAGTTCAATTCCTAATGGGTTGAGATATTTACGATTTTCCGTGTTTTTTAAATTTAAAGCGTAGCTTTGTATGATTTTTATTTTGCATTATTTTTTTCTGGCTATGAACAACATTTCCACCACGATAAACCATTACTAACAAAAAAACGATTCTGAGCGCAGTTCAGTTGAAAGTGATGCTTTGTCAACAATATACATTTCATATTATGGTAAAATAATTAAAAAGGCATTGTAAATTTTCTTAATAATATTTGTTTAATATGGCACACATTTTCCCGGTTTTTCACATTTGCTGGGAAAACTTTTAGGAAAATCAAAAAATGACTTCCCTAAAATATCTTCCCAGTCAAATTTTCTTTTAGTAAAAATGCTATCATTGTTAATTAGAGCAAAATTGCTGGTAGATAAGTAGTATACAAAAATAAAAGGCCATAATATATTTTTTTACTAATACTTACAGTTGGTACATTTTTCATTTTTCCGAAATTTTATTCCGGTTTTTCCCAGATATTATGAAAACCGCTTGAAAAATCAAAAAACCACACCTTTAAATTATCACGGAGGTAAAATTTCCTTCAGAAAATAAGGTACACTTGATACATCGGAGCAAGATTTCTGGTAGAAAAGTTTGCACAACAAATCGAAGGATATTTTTCTATTGAAATAGTCCAAGAAAGCGATGGCTTGGGTCTCTAGGTACATCCAAATGCATTTATTATTTTTTTGATTAGGTAAAATGGAAAAAAGACTCAAAAAATTAATTTTCAACATGCTGGTTTGAACCCTGAACCCCTAGCATGATAATAAGCATAAATAACTATTAGATCTTTAACATAACATATAATATCTTCGTAATACCAGAACGTCAAAAAGCTATAATTTCGAAACTTAGTCAGTCCGCTTAATTCTAACTTCACCATCGTTCTTAAATAGGCAATACACATATGTTAAAAAAAAATAAAATTGAAAAATTAGATTTGTTCGTCAAAATTTGATATTAAAATTCTCTTGTAAAAAAAAATATTACATTAAACTCAATTTTTTGTTTTTACCTCAAAGTAAGACTCATAATGAATTTCCTCTTAAGTTTTCGAGCATTTCTGTTCAAGTCTAACAATTTTACCACATAGTACCTACCCAATAAAAGTTTCGTATAAAACTCGCAAAATTGAAATACCTATAAATAGCTCATAAATGGCTTAATTTTATTTTGAAAATTTGACCACGTCTAGAAAAGGTAAATATAAATTGTTTTTCTCAATTTTAAGTCCATAGAATCAATATGAATATTTTTAACTGAATTTCAATAAAAATATTTAAATTTTTATAAAAAGCTTAAAAATGGCACAAATGTTTCGAAAATTTTATCACGTTTAGAAAAGTAAAATTTGATTTTTCTATCCAAATTTCAAGTTTCTACAAATATTTTTAACTGAATTATACAACAAATAACAAATTTGAAAAATAATAAAAACATTTTTTTTGTACATTTCTCGTTTTTCTTACGTTTTATCCTGGTTTTTCTAAGATATAATGAAAACCGTTTGGAAAATTAAAAATTGATCTTCAAAATTACCATCTAGACAACATTGCCATTCAAAAATGGTACCGTGCGTAGATATCTGAAAAAGATTTCTAGTCGAATTTTTGTACACAGTATAAAAAAAAATATATATATGTATATATTAAATGTCCTATTAATTAAAAACTTACCATTTAAAAATATGATCGATCAACGTAATCTTATTGTGTAAACACGAATAATTTATAACAGAATGTTATAGGACTATAAATAATTCATTAACTACAACACCATTAAAAGAAATCATGTATCAAATAATATATCTGTTTAAACTAAATATGTTAAGGTACCTATACATAATGGTATGAAGTCATATTGTAAAACATTTAATTATAATTTATAATTATTTTAAACTTTAAAAAAAGTCAAGCAATGATTTGCTTACAGATATAAATGAAATAACCTTATGTATCCTACCTTCCCAACTTCTCACCTACAACAGTGGCCGCTCTAATGTTTATAGTTATAATTATTGAAATAAATAGAATATGTTATACTATATTATGGTTTTAGTGGCATAATATGGTATAAACAGACAATGATAAATAAATATATATATTTATATATATCATGATAAATGTGTTTTAGATTCTGAGTGGAGCGAAGAAACTTATTGTTTTACAATGATGTTCATTTTTTTTTTATTTGTGCGCAACTTTTCGACCAAATTTTAATCCGATTTTTAAGTGTAGCACCTTTTCTAAAAGAAAATCGGACTTGGAAGGTGCTTTAATGAGGTAATATTTCGATTTTCCCAAGAGTTTTCCCTGAAATTGTGAAAAACATGGGAAAACCGAGAAAAACGGGAAAATCTATACATTAAACAAATATTATTAGAATAAAGAAAATATATAATGTCTATTTAATTGTTTTACAGTAATTTGACATATATATTATGTTTTTATTGTTGATAAAGTAACACTATCAACTGAACTCCGCTCGGAAAGTTCCTTTTAAAAAGGAATTCGTTTGCAAAAAAGGAACTCGTTCCCGTTTCTCGTTCCTTAAAAAAAAGAACTCGTTGCTTACTTAAGCGTTTCTTCATGAATACCTAATGCAGTTCAAAATAACTTTTTTTGTATTCTGATTATTAAAATATCAATAACTACTTTGCTTTGAAACACCAAGTCGTATATCGACAAAAAATCAGTAAGAAGAGTCTCATCTATTAGATTCAAAACTTAATAAGTGACATTTTTTCCCCCAAATGTGTTTTAGAACAAATTTCAGAGAAGAACGAAATAATTATATTTTTACAACCTTTACGTTCCTATTCCTAAAAAATAAAGAATTAATTCACGTTACTATTCCTTTAAAAAATAATGGAATTAATTTCTTCATTCATTCCTCTAAAAATGAATCAATTTTAAGAATCACTCCTTTAGGATCGTGTTCCTTAACACCACATATTTGAAGATCGAATAATAATAATCATATATAATAATAACAATAATAATAATAATAGTGAAAAACTAGAAAAAAAGTATAGAACAGATTAAAAAATGTACGTTAGTAAAAGTTTCTTTAATTTCGTTATTTTCAAATATAGTTTTTTTTTTTTTATGTAATTTTGTTAAAAACAATATTATTGTAAACATTTGAAATATTCACAGAGTACAATATAATATAATATAATATAAAATATCAGAACCTAAGTACCTATATTGGACTTTTCTAGACGTGTTGCTACTTTTGAAACGACTTTTGAGCTATTTGTAGACATTTAAAATGTTCTAGTTCTTTATGAGTTCATTTGGTAAGTATTATGTGGATAAAATTGTTTTATCAAATAGAAATAAGTACTTGTTAGTTTAGCGTTTAAAAGCACGAACAATTTTAATTTATTTCGAAGTTACAAATTGACAAAAATATTTAATTTGTGGTTACATTAAAACATTTTTTTAACATAACAAAAATGTTTTTTCTTTTGCATTGATTTATTATTGCACATAATATATAGGCAAATTAAAAAAACCCGTTTTTACTGTTTCAACTAAACTAACCGAAACTACTTTTTTTTTTTTCATTAAATTTATATTTTCCAAAATAAGTTTTTCAATTTTTGCATGAAAGAGTGCAGACATTTCATGCTTGTTGAACTCCATTATGAAAGGATAAAATATCAGACTCAGGGACAAAGTGTAGGCAAACTATTCATAATCTCACGGAGCATTGATAAGCAATACTTATACACCACTTTATATAATAATAATTGTCGTCTTTTGCCGGGTCCACAATAAGATGACAGACAATATTAAAACAAAATAGAAACTCGTGTTTTTGCAACAAATGTTTAAAATAATTATGTTTTTTCCAACAAATTGTTCTTGTTTTTTTAAACAAAGTCATATCCCGAACGGTATCAGTAAACATCAAAAAGTTTGTCTTTTGTTTTTGTTTCGGCAAACATTGTCGGACAGTGTTTGTCAACTAAACATTACGTTTCTAAAATTCTACCCCTAAAGGTTATCTCGTACTGGATTTGTTAGTGTGATAAGAAAATTAAATGTTTTTATATTTTTGTTCTATTTTTTGATTTTGGATTACCTCGTTGACACAGACGAAATAAAGTGGAAGCCGCGTTAAATTAAATTACCTTTAAAGATTTTGGATAGTTTAAAAATTTTACTTTTTTAGAAAAAGGGGTTAATTAAATGAACAACATTGGACAACACCCAATAGTGTAATACAAATACGATTAAAAATATTCACACAGTATTGCAAAACACGCATAATATCATAATAGTATTTATAATAATAAACTGCCTCTACAGTGCGCATGTTATACTACAACAAACAAGCTAGTTGCTCGTGAAATTATGCAGTTTAATGTTTGAAAACCATGACCCAAAAAATTGCATTGCATGCGTATTTATACGAAAATTAAACACATGGTTCCAGAATTATTTCGAACGCGAATCGTTAATTTTTCGTTAACCTTATTATGCTATACATACAGGACGATTCTTTTATCACAATCCATTGTAGTTATTATAGTCATTACTATTATTATCCTTATACAATCGATCTGTTAGTTGTTATTCTTAAAGCTACTCCCCTCCCGGTTTATAATTTATAGCTCACAAACAGTAAATCGAATCCATTATGCACATCGATATTTTTTATTAAATTATTATTTTTTCGAATCGTTGCTAAAAAAGCGTGGGGGGGGGGTTATTATTTAAAACATAAAATTTAAACTATTGTTAAAATACATTTAAAAACAGATCTATAATTATGATTGAAAAAAAATAAAATAGAAAGGAAGTAAAAAATATCTTCCTGGATCAAAATGTTTTTAACTGAATTCAAAACTCACGATTTGATCATTTTTGTGTGGCACTATTAAAGGTATTCACTGTTGAAATTTATTGTTCTCCCGAAAATCAAATACCTATTTAAACCTAAATGAAGTGTTTTTTTTTTTGAAATTTACTAAATTACAACTGCGTTGATAGTCTTAAAATTATTTAACTAATACAAACGATATCAGGTGGATTAATATAACATAAGACACTTAATATCTCGATAAGTATTAACTTTTTCAACATTTGTATTTAGAAAATTTAAGAAATAAATACCTCTAAAATGTTACATTACGGTTATTTGCTGTCACCATTATTCTTGGAGATAATACCACTACCCACTTTTGATTTTCAAACAATAAACTTTATTAAATAAATGAAGCTTTAGTTTAAATACATTTTTAATTTCCTTTAGCCCATTAACGAAATATTCCACTTTTAATTTGGTTTAGTGGAGAGTAGTGGAGCATAATTTTTTTGGTGTGCCAATGTGTTCATGGCGTTTGAATAGTGATCAATGTATAGCAAACTTAAAAGTGGAATAACTCGTCAACACGGGCTGGTGGAAATTAAAAACTTTACTCCAAAATGTATTTAAATTATTGTAATGAATTATGTAAAATAGATAAATTGATTACATAATTAATATTAATATTATTAATTATTAATATTACATAAATTAAAAGTGGAATATTTCGTTAATGGGCTAAAGGAAATTAAAAATGTATTTAAACTAAAGCTTCATTTATTTAATCAATTTATCTATTTATGAATTTTTAATATAGTTTACTATTTGAAAATCAAAAATGGGTAGTTGTTTCACCTCCAAAAATAAGGCTAACAAAAAATAATGCTTATGTAAAATTTTAGAGCTACTTGTTTCTTAAATATTCTAAAAAACAAATTTTAATAGTATGATAATGATTTTCTTTCCTTAAGTTGATCACTCTGTATATTTTTTCTAGTAAAACGTAATTTAATGCAAAGTTAAAAATCTGGCATATTCGTGGAACAACTTTCTTAACTGTTCCGTAAGAAAAATGCGAACAAATAATGGTATACATTTTCACTAAAATCATTATTCTTAAACACGAAACGTGCATAAGATTAAAATACATTAAAAAAAAATATATAATAATAATAATAATTATTATTATTATTTTAATACATATTCAAACGTAATGATTTAAATACATCGAAGTTTCGCAATCTTACTTTAGGATTTTAACCGGAAGACTTGCTTCAATCAAAGACTTCACAAAAAATGCTATGTCGAATTTTAAATCTAGTTGGTACTTTAAAAAAGCTATTTCTATAAATTCCTTGTATTTTTTCTAAAAATGAAGAAAATCCAAACATTTTGTATCAAGAAATCAGAAGCCGCTAGTCGTCGAGTGGTATATTCTGTCTCTGAACTCTTGGTATTATTTATCCGATAATCTCCTTACAAAACCGAGTTCTGAATTTTCCACTGTCTGCCGAGCCAGCGATTTAAATGCGGTCGTCGCGTTTCTTTTTGTGTATAGGCCGGAGTGGATGCAAACGTGGCGGACTTCAAAGGTTTGACGCCTTTGATGACGGCCAGCATGTTTGGTCAGACGTCTACGGCAAGCTTCCTGTTGGGAATGGGCGCACAACACCATCTGACCGACATTAATGGCGACTCTGCGTTGCATTGGGCTTCGTACAAAGGGTACGCCGATCTGGTGAAGCTGTTGGTGTACTCGGGCGCTGACCTAACCAAAGTTGACAATTTCGGGTCCACGCCGCTTCACCTGGCCGCCTTGTCCGGCAACGCCATGTGCGTGAAAACTCTCTGTCAAAACGTACGCGTAACGCAAATATTATATTTTATATGTAGACATTTTTATTAACAACGACTGTCATTATGTTTATTTTCACCGTTCCAGGCTGAAGTATCGTTGCAGCCCAAGGACAAAAACGGCAAAACCCCGTTGAGCCTGGCTGTCAACCATAGATACAAGGAAATTGCTGGCGTGTTGAATAGCGAGATTAAGAAAAGAAAGAAAGTCATAATGCCTGGCGGCCTAATCCAAACGGCACTGTAAGAAAATAACCATATCGTTATCTGTAACCGGGGCTGGGCAGAAAGCTGTTCATACACATAATCTATAATAATATCGTCGTCGTCGGTTTTAAAATACGAAAGATAGGGAAAATGCAATTCAATGGGAAATAGGATGGAATGAATTATTAAATTTGTAAGAGAGCGGTTACAAATGAAACGACCTATAGTCTACAGTGTCAGTAGCAAATTGCAATAACAATAACTGAAATCATTTTTTCAAACGGCTACACGATGGTCTACGATTTCTATAGTCTATTTAATGGTCCAAAATGTTTAGAGTACCTATACTATTTTTATTTTAGACTAAAGACTAGTTTAAAATTATACACATTTTAGTGACGTAGCCAGGATTTTGTATTGTGGGGGGAGCTTAATACAGTTTTGCTTGAATCATGGGCGTATGTAATAGGAGTTTGACCATCATAAAATATTTATATTTCTTGGTATAATATCACTATACTGTCATACAGAATACAGAGGTGTCCCTCTGACAGCTATATTCTTCTAGGAGAATTTGAGAAAAGACAGTAGTGATTACATTATTTTCATTAATGTTTTATTTTTTTGTATTGATATTAGCCATGAATATTGATTAATTTAAATTCTGAGTAAAGCAAAGAAGCTTATGATTTTACAAAGATGTTTATTTTAGATTTTTTTTCTGCGGACAACTTTTCTACCAGAAGACTTACTCCGATTTTTACATGTAGCAACTTTTCTGAAAGATAATCGGTGTGGGGGAGGTACCTTAGAGAGATCATTTTTCGATTTTCTTAAGTTTTCTTATCAAATGCGAAAAACCGAAAAAAAACAGAAAAATGTAAAAAATGTAGGTATTAATTAAAGATATTACGGCCTTTTTTTCTGTGGACAACTTATCTACTAGCAATTTTGCTCTAACTTTTAATGATAGCAATTTTTATAAAAGGAAATTTCACTGAGGAGGTACTTTAGAGTGGTCGTTTTTCAATTTCTCCGTAGTTTTCTTAGCAAATGTAAAAAATTGGGAAAAAACATAGGAAAACCGGAGAAATCGGTACAACATTAAACAAATATTATTAAAAAAAATATATATATCCTACTCAATTATTTTACTATAATATGGCATATATATTGTTGACAGAGCTTCACTATCAACTGAACTCTGCTCAGAATCGTTTTTTCGTAAGCAATGGTTTATCGTTGCTTACAGGTATACATTAAATTACATATTGTTTTAATAATGAATCATTAATAATTATTGATAATAATTTAATTAGCGATAATATTGTGGACATTTTTGACGTTGTACAATGTACATTAAAATTTGTTACTACGAAAATAGTAAGCAGACAATTTTTGAAAATAGATGTAGATCTTTTGTTTGACGACTATGCAAGTCCTGAAACCATTTGTACCTATAACCGACGACGGCAACTTATTCACTTAATGCATTAAAAAAAATGTTGCACACAGCTAACATTCACACGATATTTCTCGTCGAAACAATAGACAATATACCACAATAATATGAGGGCGACTTAAATAATTGTTTTCAGCAACGCGATGTTTGGACGTTCGATCTACTCCAAAGGACCTCTGTTGTTGTTTTTGTGCTCATTTTTGATGTGGTGGTATCCACTTTACGTGTACAAGGTGAGTGAACGCATTTTTTGCTGCCACGTCTTCGGGTCCTAACTAGAGATATTGCTTTTACCGGTAAATTGTATGTAAGTCATATTTTGATAGTAAATTTGTGTTTGTATTTTTTTGAATATCAGCAAACTTGATACAAAAATAACCTAATAAGATCACAAACAAATTTTTCATTTTTTATTTTCATACCAAAATGGTTGTTTTCCTAATAATGCTGGTGAGAATCATTATACTTTTATCACACTATGAACAACTTTTGTCACTTTGTCACAGTGTTGCCAAGTTAAATTTTAAAATATAATTATAAAAAAAATTGTTGCACGAAAGAATAAAATTGAAATAAGAAGATCACTCGATTTTCAGTTTGTAAAAATATTTACCTAGTAAAAAACCATCGGAAAATTTGCCGGGCCCACATCTCTAGTCCTTACCCCGGTGTCCTTGTTTTTCTTTATTGTAATCTCATCCACAATCTCAGGTGATACCCGCCACTTGGAACTTGACCAGAGGCTGCCACTACACGTATATGGCTTGGAACGTTTTCATGTGGATATGCTGGATAACTACCAAACACTCCGATCCCGGATACTTGCCGATCAACTCCGGACGCTACATTCGAATCATAAGACAGGTAATCGTATTGCACGATAATATTAAACTGGTTATTAACTTCAGCAGATATTGCCAAAATTATTATTAAAAAAAAAAAAAACCATACAATTATTAGACAGGTACATTATACAATATGATATAGGTGTGCCATCTTATTTATTTCAATGACGAAAAATATCACACATTTATCTGACAATATTCGTGGAAGAGAGTCGTAAAAATCATTATATTTTTTTTTAACAACATGCAGAACGATTAATAATAATAGTAATATAACAAAGAGGTTCTACAGTTATACCTACTATATTAGATAATATATTATTACCTCATATCTGATAATCATGATTATAATAGGTATAAGGATTGAATAACGGCCCGTGTTCCTGCAGTCACGACATTGAATTTTTGTTCGCTTTTCCCGATTAATGTTTATTGTCTAAATATTGTTTCAATAATTCGTGGTTTTGTATTTTTTTTTTTTTACCGTAATAGTTGCCGACTTTTACGTGCGACATGCGAACCAAAAAAGACATACTGGCCAGGCTGTGTCACACGTGTCGTTGTGTAAGACCACCCCGGGTCAAACACTGTAGAATGTGCAACAGGTGCGTCAAAGAATTCGACCATCATTGTCATTTCGTCAGCAACTGCATCGGTATAGGCAACAGGTGAATAATAATATAATAATATCGCGGGGTTAGGAATAAAAATGCAAGTGACAAAACAACCAAATAGTAATATATAACACTCTAAATAAATACGGAGCGATCGATATAACGTAGTACACTTAATACTTAGGAAAGTATATGAACATTTTTGAGATTTTTTTTTTAAACTTAAGAAACAATTTTAACGTTAAGTAAAGTTTAGTCAAGTTGAGTTTAAGTAATATCAAACATAATAATAATAATATGGTCATTCAAATTTCATGATCCAGTCAAATTTGATATGAAATACTTAATTTTTCAACAAATTACTTTTATAAAAACTTTTTGGAATTATATATATTCTAAAATGTTACGTTGTCCTTATTTTTTTTACCCTTAAATGTAAGGGTGAAACGACTTCCTACTTTTGATTTTCAAAAAGAAACTTATATTAAAAGTTCTATAAATAGACGGAGTATTAAATTAATTTTTGTCTTGAAATTACTGATTTTCATCAATCTGTTAACGAGGTATTCTAATTTTAATTTTGGATAAGGAGAGAGTAGTAGAGTATTATTCAAATGCCATGTGCCGTGACACCACTCAAAAATAAGGGTGGTAAAAACAAGGACAATGCGATATTTTTTAATATAATATGATTCCAAAAAGTTTTTTTAATATAAGTATTTCTTTTTAAATTTGACTACCTATATCATGAAATTTGAATGGCCCTTTATATATGCTTTTAAAAATATCATTATTTGTAAAAAGAGACGTGTCTATACCGTTTCTAATCATTCAAGCATAAAGGGTAATTCTAGGGTATGTCTTTTATCATGATCCATACTATTTCTATGATCAAAGTATTATTTTTCTCTACTTCCTCGGTCTAAATTCAAAACTGAATTAGTCTCTTTATTTTCGGGGTAATATTTGCCAAAAAAAAAAAAAAAATTTTATTTTATTTTATTTCTTCTCTCTTGTACAACTAATATTCTCAGAGAACTCTACGCTTACAATATATAAAACCTTTATCTAGCTAGTCCGTTTGGATATTTTTTTTATCGACAGATCGTGGTACTTCTGTTTTGTCATCAGTCTGACTATGAACTGCTCGTACGTTATTTACATGGTGAGCTGCACGTTAAACGTCGAAGGGTTTAACATCCTGTACGTGTTGGCCCTTTTGCAAGCAATCGCTTTTGGTATCCTTAGCTTGGCCGTAACCGTGACCATCGTATGTAACACTCACACCCGTGTTGTGGTAACCGCTATATTATAGTATAATATATTGACTCACGCAGTGTTTCGTTTCCAGTGTTCAAGTGTATTACTAAACTTGACCAGAAACGAGTTGATCAACTACAAAAAGTACGCGTACCTGAAGAATGAAGAGGATAAATTCCACAATCCGTTTTCCAGAGGAATCGTATTAAACGTTTTGGAGTTTTTTGGATGCACGCGGACAAAAGTGGAGAAAAATGAAGACGAATTTTTTTGTTGCGATTAAGAAGCATTGTGATGGAGGAAATAATTTATTGTACTGCTATCACAACTTTATTATTATTTTTAGGTTTTTCGGCTATAAACTATTACTGACTGTAAACTAAACAAAGAAACGTATATGTCCGTATTATTTATACATAAACATTAAATCACATTATTCCCTATTTAATTTCTACACGTTTGTCGCATATATTACGAAATTATTCATAATATAGGTAATAAATAATAATATTATTAATCTATATAAATAAATCGCTTTTGTTTAAATAATTATACTATGATATGTTTATTATATTTATAAATTTTAAATGCAAAAATGCGTTCGAAACGTTTGTTATATAATGTACTTAAATTAAATTTAGGATTCGGGATTTGCTTCATTTGTATAATTCATTAATATCGGACGTTGAATATTCTAAGTATAATGTATCTACATTTATTTTGAGATATATTATAATATAAGAATAATGTTTGCAATATTTCAGTTGTTTTTAGGCTTTAACGTATACTCGACAAATGTCGACAATTTGTTCTTCAACCACTCGATGGCCCCCATTAAAGACTTGCGCTGCCACTAATATCTCTAATATCAATAATATTATCTTCTCGACCTACATTCTCATCTATTTAATGGCCACCATATATCTGCATTCCCATTTATTAGCATCATATATTTGTTCACAATGTCTTTCCGTCTGGTCCTTGGTCTTTCTATTGGGCGTTTATTGTTTATTTACGTATCTTGCCGATATTAGGACTAATACGAGAACTGGAGATATTATGTTTTCCATGTAGATTGCAGATGATACATATTATCTTCGTTATGCATTTTTCATAATTCTTAAGTTAATTTTAGACCCCGGGCTGAATATCTTCCGAAGAATCTTCTTTTGCCATATCACAAGTTTTAGATTCTGAGTGTAGAAAAGAATGTATTGGTTTTACTAAGATGTTTATTTTTTAATTTTTTATACTGTGTACAAAAATTCTACTAGAAATCTTGCTAAGATATTTACATATGGTGCAATTTTTGAAAGGGAATGTTATCCAGATGGTACTTTTAAGAGGTCATTATTGATTTTCAAAACTTTTATTGGGTAGGTACTATGTGGTAAAATTGTTAGACTTGAACAGAAATGCTCGAAAACTTAAGAGGAAATTTATTATGAGTCTTACTTTGAGGTAAAAACAAAAAATTGAGTTTAATGTAATATTTTTTTTTACAAGAGAATTTTAATATCAAATTTTGACGAACAAATCTAATTTTTCAATTTTATTTTTTTTTAACATATGTGTATTGCCTATTTAAGAACGATGGTGAAGTTAGAATTAAGCGGACTGACTAAGTTTCGAAATTATAGCTTTTTGACGTTCTGGTATTACGAAGATATTATATGTTANATCAAAAAAATAATAAATGCATTTGGATGTACCTAGAGACCCAAGCCATCGCTTTCTTGGACTATTTCAATAGAAAAATATCCTTCGATTTGTTGTGCAAACTTTTCTACCAGAAATCTTGCTCCGATGTATCAAGTGTACCTTATTTTCTGACAAATTTTCAGGTTTATAAATAAGTAAAAGGCTCAACAATTTGCAGATACGAGGTCTGTCATTATACTGGGATTTATTTGACGGTAAAAATAAAAATGAGCGTTATCGCGTCGTAATTTTATACGCCATCACTTTATCGGTCATTTAGACTTCCGCTGGACTCCGCTCAGAAACGTTTTCGTTTACAACGACAATCATATTAAAATATAAACTTCTATATGCGTGCTTTGGGAAGATTGATTGGGGGGAGGGTGGCGATTGTCCCGATAACAGTTCTCGCAAATACGCGTCTGGGAACATCGGTTGCTTGTTTCGAAGAATAACAATAATATTATTATATATGATATTGTGTTAAGAATATTATATTATATAGTATACAATATGTAGTTTGACACCCGTTTTACTCGTCCGTTCCAAAAACAGGAGGCGTCCTGTTTGGCCATTCAAACGCCGTAATAGACTTTATAATGGTATATAATATGACGCTATTATTATTATGTTTAACTTTCTACTGCGGTATGGACCGCGCGGCGCACACACGGTAAAATAATATTTCATATCATGACCATTTGCATACAATAAAACGTCGTCGTATACCTACGTACTGTGTACTGTGTAGCGCTGCGTGTAGGCTCGCGTAATTTGTTTTTTTTTTCTCAACTATTTTATACATTCCGTCGCCGCCGATTGTGCGGGCACGCTTGTAGCTGATAACAATATAACAATATTATATAGGAAAAGGAAAACGGGGGAAAAAAAACAAACAAACGGAACGAAAGAAAGAGAAACATTTTGCAAAACAAAACTCACTTTTCATGCGATTCGTATATATATATTTTCTTTTTATACGCGCGTATACTCGTATGGTTTCCATATAAATATATATATATATAAAAAAAAAAACAACTCACAATTCACAAAATAATGTTCATATATTATTAGTTAATAATATTATTGTACATAGCTGGTATTAGTATAAATTAATATTATTATTAATTAATTATATAAATTATTAAACGTATATATAAAATAAATAACTATTCGCTCAATAATTATATAATATACCTAATATACCAGGGATGGCTCCAGAGACTTAATTGGGGGGGGCGAGTCATATTTTTCAGAAACCTGGATTGAAAACATATTTCATAAGTTTATTTATACTTTGTAGTACATAGATTGTAGGTAGATAACTCTAACTACACACTTGTACGTGTCTGCAATAGTATATAATTTATGTTTTTTTTTTTTGTACAATTGTTTTTAACAAAAATACGAGCTTGGGGTGCCACGGTCCTTAGCCTCCCTGGAGCCAACCCTGTAATACACGACGATGACGCCGTATCCGTATTATCGAGCACGCTTGCGTGGCACGGTTTTGTTTTTGTTTTTTTTTTTTTTTTATAAAAATTTCTAAATTATATTCGTATACTATATTTATATAAAATGTTCATTATAATTTATATTATTATTATATATATGGCAAACGTTTTTTTTTTTTACCGATTGAGGACAATGAAGTACCTATATATATAGAGATAGATGTATAGATATAGATATTTTGATTGGCCTACCGCGGCATAGGTACAGGTATAGGTATATTAAAATAATATGCAACTATATAAAACGCGTATGCACAATGGCCAAAATAATCACCTGTCCGCTACAGTTGCGCAATCCACACGGATATATAATTATAATATATACAGCGAGATTCGCGCGTATACCTATATTATTATCATTATTATTATGTGTTCGCTGGTTTCGACATTACATCGTCGTATATAGGCGATTCTATTGTTTCAAGTCCCGCCGCACTTATCAGACCGAACGGGAACGATTTTGAGCGACGTGTCATAATCATCATCATCGTCGTCATAATGATAATGTTATCGTAAAATTGCGGACGGTAAAAATCGAACCGAAACGCGCCGACCCACGAATGAATAGACTAACACCGTACGGGTCCGGGGAAAGAACAATTGAAACACAAAGTACCTATACAGACTTCGGGTCCGGATTGAACCGACGAGTCAATCAAGAAAATCTCGATGGGCCGCGCCAAATATCATACTTGTTTTTAATTGAATTTATACCGATCCTATCCATTTCGTATAGTTTTGTGAAATCCTAAAACTCGGCTGGCCGATATATTGTCCTTCCGGCGTTGCCTACAGTCAATTGTTCGTTTGTTTAGCGCATTACGAGTTGGTCGGGCAACGGAAAATAACGTCCAGTGAATCCGATTTAAGAAATGTAATTTTCTCGAAATTCAAAATGTACGATTATTTCTGTTCTTTGCCCTCAGACCCTTTGTGTTTGTGTGTACTGCAGAAAACGGTCGTGGCGTCTACGTCAAACAGATAATCTAAAATGACCACCGTCGAATTGGCTCCCAATATTAGGCAAATCACTCCCGTCGACCATTGAATCGGTCGGCTCCCGAGAATAATGTTGAATCCACTTCCAATAACATTTTTAAGTGGATTTCAAAACAAATCGTTTCAAATGAAAGTTGAAAATGTGTGGGACATTTGTGTTTTATTAATTGACACGATGATTTAATTATTCAATTAGTCTACTTCGACTATGTACAATTCGATGTCAAATTTTTTTTTTTTTTTGTTTATGGGATTTGAAAAAAAAACAATAAACCTTTTAGAACTGTGACGCTGAACCAAATATCTAGATTTCAATAAATTATCCAAATGTTAGCAATTGGTTTTTTTTTCTTTCATATATCTAATCTACATTTTTATCAATTATTTTTGGTGCATAATTAAATTATCATTTTGAACAATTTTTGTAATCGAGGGGGTCTATATATTCAATAAAGCATCTTGGGAACCAAGTCTTCAATAGGTAAAACTATCGACTATCCGTGTTTGGGAGCCAATTCAATTACATCACCGTCTAAAATATAATATTATAGGTAGCATTGGCGCTGATAGGGGGGAGGGTTTGAGGAAGTTGTCTCCCCATAACTCGAATTAGCCCCGCCTCCTAAATCAAGTCATTATCAAGTAAATATAAAGTAGGAATATACATAATAAATGTTAATCAAGTTTATGGGGGCTTAAACCCCTCTGAAAAGTTCGAACTGTTCGCTCCTATGTTAGATAGATATTAATATTATCGCATTATTATACTCGTTAATGTAATATAATATTATAATAAATAAAATAAAGATAAAATAATATATTATTAAAGTAAGTATTTAATTTGACTAGCTGTACACATTGACGAGATTAATATTGGTGTAGTTATAAGCAGAGACTTGAACGACGCGGGTTGCTGGACGAACCGTAAAAGTCCGAGATGGCAATCATTTAATATTTTGTCCGTAGCGATGTCTTCGTTTCTATTCAATTACGTTAACGCGGTCGAGCATATTGTTATATAGTGACTTTTTAAAACACTTTATAGTGTTCTGCGATTTTTACACCCTTTGCCCTTAACGAACAAAATCAGACTTCCGCTGAGCGAAAAATATTATTTCTTTTTTTTCTTCCATGCAGACGTATCGTTTAGTTTGTCTGTCGTCTGACGAATTTAACAAAACCAATAGACTCGGACCACTATACAGTTAATTTACGGGTCTCTATATTATGCTGCAGAGGTATGAATAAAATAATTGACTGATTAAACTTGCGTTGGTGTTCTACGACGGTATGACGGAGGCAACGTAATGCGGTTATTTATAGTTATTATGGCGACGTTTTGAAAAATTACACGATTCGCGCGCGACAAGTCTCCAGTCGTAACGTACACCCAATATCAATCTCCACGAGTATAATTTAATATTAAGGTTTTTTTTTTTTTATCCATATGGTTACTATACTAACGAGACTTATAATCCTACGCGTCGCAAGTCCGAGATAAAAAAAAAAAACTATAATTAGGCGGGGGAAAAAAAATGTAAGAAATTCGTATAGCGAAATCGTTAAAAAAAAAAAAATTAACTACACTGCGGACCGCGGGAGTGGTCATTTTAACGAACTGCGTTATTGTTATGGCCTGTGCGTACGTTTTCCCCGATGTAGGCGGTACGGGACGGGTCAGCGGTACCCATCGTATCCGACTCGCGGGTCCGGGCTGCGGCGACTTAGTTGCCCGGACGCGGGTCGTACGGTTCGGCGTTCAAGCCTACGTACCGGTTGTTTTTGCGGTGCACGAAACCAGTGCCGGGGGCCGTGTTGTAATAGACCACGCGCCTGATGCCGAACGGGTCCACGTATCCAAAACTGCCGGCACGCGTGTCACCCGAGTCGTCCGACTGTTCCTCGTGGTAGTGCCGCGGCAGGTAGTATTTGAAACCGTTTCGGACGAACGACACGCCGTCGTACTCGGATTCGGATTGCGATCCCTGGCCCGACGTGTCTAATTGCACCTTGCGGTACGCGGGTCGGAACGTGTGCGGCCGCAACGGCTGTTCGTAGAGCGGCCGTTTCGGTTCGACGGTGACGGTCGATGGCTGTTGGGCTGACGACGAACGACGGCGGTACGGCGCCAGTTCTTGTCCGTCGTCGGCGGTCGCGATCGAGTTCACGTCGATTGGCCGCACGGAGTAATAATCGGCCGCGGCCACGGCGGATGGCGTCGTTGCCGTGCTACTGCTAGCCAACGGCGTCGGCCGCCGATAATGCGAACCAGTAGACCGCGGTGGAGCGGCCGACGACACGGCCGAGCCGCTGGACGGGAAACGCAGAGGCGATGACTGGCTGTCAGACGGGTACACGAACGGCGAGCCGCGCCACGACGACTCTTTCGGCAATGGTGCCTGGGTAGCCGGTACTACAGCCACGGACCGGACCGCAGAGCCGGCGGCCGACCGATACGGCGACGACGACGAGACAGCCGTGCCGGCCACCGCCGGCGCATGCTTAGCCGCTGACACAGCTTGTGCTACCGGTGTTTGGGTGCCGACAAACAATTTTTTGTTTTTCACTATTCTGTAGCCTACAGAAAAAAAAAATTGTCCCTGTTAATGCACGTAATATAATAATATGTGTGTTGTAAATAGGTATAACTGGTGTTAGTATATACTATGACGTTAACCTACGAGAATAGAGGATAGGGGGGGTTTTTTTGCAGTGCTGTTAAAGTTCTTTTTAAAAGAGATTCCGTTCTCATTCCTCGTTTCTTAAAAAATAAAATCGTCCTTGAAACGTTCCTTTTTTTTATGAATACCTAGTCCATACCAAAATAATCTTTTTTATATTATTAACTTGAAAATAATAATATCACTAATGATTTTGCTTTGGACGTATTCAAATATGTACAACTAATTTGACATTGACCTTTTCATTTGTTACTTGTATAGATACCAAGTTTTCATAAAAAAATAAGGGTAATGTGAATTGATCAAGTCAATTAAAATTGGAAACTATTCTTACTTTTTAGAATTGACATGTTTAAAATCCTAATAAATTAAATTAAATTTATTTTCTTGTTAAAAACATAAGAAAAATAATATTTTTGTTTCTATTCCTAAAAATAATGAATTAATTCACGTTCCTATTCTTTTAAAAAATAATGGAATTAATTCCTTCATTGTTTTCTCTAAAACGGAAGCAATTCTAGGAATCGTTCGTTGACAACATTGCTTTTTTGAGGATAGGAAAAAACCACGATTAATATAAGGTTATGAGCCACAAGTTATTATTGTCGGCTACGAGATTGTTTTTGTAGGTACTAATTATACATAAAATTGATGTGGTAAATCGCTCGACAATCATGCCCAGTTACTAAATTAAAGTAATTCCGTCTGTCCCTTAATTAATTGGATGGCATTGATGATGGATACTTAAGAGTCTATAAGGATCAATGTTCCATCTAGTTTTAAAGCTATAATGCGTTAATAGATGATGGACAATATCTATGTCAATCCTATTGGTAAGCGGATCAGAATTCGTCCGATTAGCTGTCAGATTAATTTTGGGAACACGTGGATTGCAGTGTAGACAAAATCTGCAATATTTGTTTAATAAAATAACCGAATGATAATTTTCTGAAAAAAAAAACCAACCGGATGAAATTTTCGTCCACCCCGTATCCGACTATGACAAATTGACACAATTAGAGTAATCACTATTTTCAACGAAAATAGATAACATTATTTTCACATTACATTATATTATACGATAGTACGTTAACAAAGTATATTATGATCGAGCTTTATGCGTTAGTATCATTTTTTGGTTTTCATGTTAATGTGTAAAGTGTGTACATGAGTGTGTAAGAATCAAAATAATAGTTTCACATTTTCTTTTGCCCCTGAAAACGAGTTTTTAATTAATTTATATGTACCGTATTTTATAAACTGTAGTAATATTAATACGCGTGAGTAGTTATATACGCAGTACCGTGGCCTAAAACAATTTCGTGGTGAAGGGGGGGGGATTAATTGTTTTTATAATTAACTATTATTTTGTAGACTGATCCATCAAAGAATACATCAAAACAACCAACGTACACAATAATTATTATAACAGTACTATAACTTATGATAATTATTACGTTATGGTATTTTCAAAAATCGAACCAAACACAGGTTGATCAATATTTTACGAATGCATAAACGGTTATACTTCGTTAGTTTAAACTTGTGAACGGAAATTAACGAATTCATAAAGTTTTATACAATTTAGTATATATTGATAGTAATCAAAGTTATCGAATGAGATAAGTAGAACAACTAGAACGAGCTAGTGAAAACCAATAAGAATTCAATAGCACTAAAATGCGTAATAAATAATAATTACATATCTATATTATATTTTTACAATACTAGTACCTACATAGTATTGCGTTGTGGAAAACGTATTTTATGACACACATTCATACATTTACGTATACATTCTTACATTTATACATAGATAGTTACCCTATAAGTGTATATAACAGAAAAATGTAAAGAATAAAAAACATATTGACTTTATAAAATGCAAACCGTTATTGAATCTGGACTTTCTTAAAAATCATTTAACCCATTTTTTTCGCAGTTAGTAGAAATTATTATTGCTTTACGCGTGACCTTCGATTTATAATTATAATCACGTATTTTAAACGAAAGTAAACGAAAGCCAAAATGATTAGTATTACAAATCTATTATCAATACAGATTCATTATAAAACAAATTCACGATTATTAATTTTAAGTCGGAATTAAAAATATATATAGGTACAGGCAGGCGTTTAAAATAATGCCATATCAATTAAAATATTGTGTTAGAATCGTATACGATTTATAACATTTAAATGAATATTCATAGAGATCCGTATCGTACTGTAACTGGTAGATACTGACTAACTTAAATAATATAATAGTACCTATTCTATAACGAATAATTCAACCCAAGGGGGTTGGATGCCGATATTTGTTTTCTTCGTTTAACGTCATACTCAACAAATCAGTATTAAATTTAATTTCAGTTTTTTTTTTATATATATATATATATTTTATAAAAATGTATAAAAAAAATATCATATCAAAATTTCGTATCAAATTTTTAGAAATTATGGACTAATATTCAAAAAGGTGGCCTGACCGATCCAACGTATACTTTACACTGAATTCAAATTTGTTTTCAGAATTCTTATCATTTCATTAAATTGATCGTAATGATTGTCGGAATGTTCTTTTAAATTGCATGCTGCGTGTGTGTTAGACAGGAAATAAAATATCGGTATACAAAAAAAAGTGTGATTAAATTGAAAATTAAACCATATTTTAAAAATGCAGTTTTTCAATTATATGAATTGAAAAAAACAATCAAAAAACTGTTTAAATTGAAAAAGTACAACTGCGTTAAACAAACTTGTCTTTAAACATTTTTGGATTAAACTATAAAATAGATAGATCGCCGATTTAATGATACCTACAACTATACAACTTACTGAATTATAAATTATTAGTGAAAAAATGATTGAACAATTATACAATTATTAACCTATGAATGAATATGAAAAGATGGCAGTGTATCAAATTTTCAGTTTTTTAATTTTGTAGCCTTATAAAACAAATAGGTCGAAGGAAATCCTATCATTGAACTCCTTGAAGTTAATATTAATTCTGTACATCTTAAAAAAATGGCTGAATTAATTTTTTGTATTCCATTTGTTATTAAAGAAATAATGTTCAACAGCTACTGTCAAAAGGTTATTTACTTTAACGAATCGAACTGTGACAAATTTTGCAATTGGATGGAATAAGAACGAAGGCACTAGAATATTGAATATAGAATATAGGAATTGAATGGATATTGAAGGGAAAGAAACCCTTAGGAGTTTTCTTCAAGAGCTTTTTTCATGAGTTTGTTGAAGAGATAGTTAATCGATTAGATCATACTGGTTGATTTTATACAATATTCATATTACTTGTAGTATTAATCTAATTCCCAAACCTTACCTTACCTTACCTTACCATAACTCTGACTGCTCATTGTCACCATTTCCTAACTAGTTCCCTTCCCCCACAATTTTATATTATAAAATTAACATTTAGTTACAAAATTCTACATCCATCAGCAAAAAGTTCCAGCTGTACTATTTAAGAAGTTTCTTTTTTTTTAGAACCTGAACGTAGTAGGGAATGTATTAGTTTAATTATGAGTGCAATTATTTTTTTTGTGTGAACAGCTTATCCACCAGGAATCTTGTTCTCATAAAAAAAAAAACAAAATTATTTTTTTTTATGTACGAGTATTATGGATCTAGTTGGTATATTAATGAGAGGAGGTCATTTTTTGATATTCCAAGTGATTTGCATAATAATTGGAAATAATCCTAAAAAGAAAATATAGGAAAACGGACAAATTTAGGCTATAAAAGTTTTATTATTTTCGCTTTTGTTTTTCTACTAGAAATCTTACACCGAAATTCAAGTGTAACATATTTTTTGAGAAATAATTTTGTCTAGTTGAGTAGTATAAGAAAGTCAAATAAAATTGAAAATAATGGGTAATATAATATCATGAATTAGGCACATTTTTACCCTTTGAGTCGGCCACATAGTCATTGAGTCTCAAATACCCGTCCGCGTCCACCCAGCCATACGTGCCAACCACGCTGCCGTCCTGTAACCGCCTCTCTTTCCGGTACTGGCCACTAATCGTCTGATACTTGAAATACCTTTCAGGACCCTCATCCGTTTGTATGTGATACTGCGTGTTCGGCTCCGTGTCCCATCCTCCGTCGATTTTGGACGCAACCGTTCCCAAAACGGCTAGCTAATAAAAAATTAGGAAAAACCCCATATTATTAAATCGGCATTAAGCATACTCATATAATATTTTGTATAAACTAAATGGGTGAAAACAATATAATATACATTATAGATATGTTTTGTGTTTCGTCTAAAAAGGTATATATTTATTTTTATCATATCTAGCTACATAATAAATAAGTTATCTTAGATAAATAATTGAATCATCTATAAATAAATATTTTTCAATTCTAATTATATTATGTTTATTAATAAATAGGTAAAATATTAAAATTATTAGTTTTATGCCCGTCACACAAATCTTTGTAGCAACAACTTTTTAACATACGAATTTTATTGAAATGTATTTAAAAAAGTTTTAAATATTTCATTATTAACATCGAAACAATCATATTATTACGAACAAAAACTGCACACTGACTAAGATAGACTCCAATACGTATACATGATATTAAATGATTAAAGACCAACTGACAATAATTCATTGTACGTTGATGCTAATTTACAATTTAGGAAACTTAGTGCACCATGACATAAAGTTGTACACTTGTACTACGGTACATCTACATGTTTTTTGGTTAATAAATCTACACATTTTGTAATTTATTGTAAAACCTGAATACAAATAATGGCCTGTGTAAATGCCTGATTGTCGAGTAGATGGCCTTGAATGTCAGTATTTCTGATGAAAATATTTAAGGTTTCAGGATAAAGCTACGCGTATAGTCTATAAGAGAAAACTGGCTGATTCAAATAAATTCCAACGGGTGTGAATGTGAAAATTTTACTACAATGGTTTGATAAATTAACTATTAAGCTAATTCAATCGCTGTGCATTTCGAAATCTAGAATAATGTATACCATATTTGGTACAGGTTTCTACTTTTAACACTTAGTTTTATAGTAGCCGATAGGTAATGAATGAAATTATCTTTTTTTTTATCTATAGAAAAAATGTGCTAATAGTTTATCTATAATAGGTAATTAAATTATTTGGTATCTTTGTCTAGATAATTATTATCTCTTATCTAACTAGATATTTTAAAATGGATCTGTGTACAACACAGTACTTGTATTACATAGACAGCAAACAATACGGAGAACGTCAACATTTATTGTTCGATTAATGATACCTGCGCGTCGTTTGGGAATTTATTTGTCGTTTTTTTTTTCAAGCAAATAAAAAATTGAGTATACGAATATATGATTGGGAAAAAAAATTGTATGGTACGCATATTGTTCAAAGTTGACAATCTAACGACATCAGACCTATCAGTGGGAATCTTTCGGCTATAGGAAAAATCCCGGTCTGATAAAAAAAAATATATAGTATAATCTGTAGTAATCGACCGGTTACAATATAATATAGACGATGATATTTGACTTACAAATTATTATATTATATTGATAATTAAATTAATATTATTACTGCACGGGTGGATAACCGACCAGACAAAACAAAGCCTGCGACCATAACCAAACCAAACGAGTACCTTTTCTTATGCGCAGCTGGCTGGTCAGTGCCTTTTAAGGTTTTTTGTATGTACCTGTCCAGGAACATCTCTCCCTCTCTCTCTCTCTCTTTCTCTCTCTCTCTCAAACACACATTATTATCTATATATATATACTTCCACATTTTTCTTTTTTTACTACCGTATAGTCGTTCCTTTTGAACCTCTTGAACCTCGATAGTTTTATAAACTTTTTTAACAAGTTTAAACGAGGGTTTTTTTTTTGTATGTACACAATATTATTATATTAAAACACAATAGAAACGATTATAATATTATACATAATGGAAAATACGAAATTTCCGTTTTTTCTTCAATATCTTCTTATTGGTAGACTGGTTTTTTATGATAAGTTAAACGAATACTTAAGTTACTTCGGTGCCACTACCGCGATTTACTTGGAATAACATAAAACCCTATAAATCATAGGTATTCTATATTCATATTGAATGGAAAAAAAAAAATAGTAGTTAGGTATGTTGTTAAAAACGGCCGACGTGTATTGTTTCATTGTGTATTCAACGTGCCTACCTATGTCTTATACTCTCTTATTGATAGTCAACGGAGCTGATTTACGTGTCATTTTACACACACTTGTGTTATATATAGTTATAGAAATACATAAAATACATTATATGGGTACTTATACCGAAAGAATATAAACTTATTGTAATTCACTCGGTTACAAAAAAAAAATTGTAGGGTTATCGGAAAGATTTATTTTATTAAAATTTAAAAACATGTATACAAGTAGGTATATTCCATATGCAACTATATACCTTGGATTTACACTATATAATACATAAAGCGAAGGTTGAAAACATGCGTGTATTAGTTTCCGTACGGGTTAAAACTATTCTTATATATAGATATTAATAATTTGGATGCGGTAAAACTTAAGATTCTGGTGGGAAAAAAATGTCTGTATTTTATACACATGGTGTGTCTCCCAGAAACTTTTTCCTACACGCAACCATTTTTTTTACTTAAAAACACGATTTACAGGGAAAAACATGTAAGAGTCTCATGTTTTATGGAGTATATATTGAGTATATGGATATTGTATACGGAGTATGTATTATAGTTTGATTTCAATTTTTTTTTTTTTAGAATGAGGAAAATTTCTTACAGAGTGCATTTAGTTTGAATTTTGAAAATGATATTTCTAAATGCTCTAAATTTAAGGAGTTTGAATATGATCAATTATTTTCCAGAATGCTTTGAAAAGTGTGCCATGTCTGGAATAAGCTACACAGGGTGATTCACTCAACTGAAAAGTTAGGTTAGATATAAATATTAAATAGTCTATAAGAGAGTATATTAATTAAGTTTTTAGTAAAATTTCGGTCTTTTAAACTTTTTCGATCTTATGTAATTGTATAATCTTGTGATCTTATTGCTTTCTTGATGTTTTTCTTCGAGTTTATCTCCATTATTAGGAATACTACAATCTATGGAAAATAAAAAATGGCCTCTTCATTACTCCAATTATAAGAAATAACTACTTCTGAAGTTGATGATAAGAACAGGATTTCTGATAGAAAATTGGTTTACAGATAGACAAATAAAGAAAAAAACACATATTACAGCAATATATTATAATACAATTATAGTTGTAATGATAGTAGTAAAATTTAAAATAAACATAATATATTATGTAAGCACAACGTTAGCATTCAATATACTGCACTACATTGTTATTAGTGGTTTTTGGGTAAATTATTAATCGCCGACATATGTGAAACAATTTTGGCTCCCCTCGTTGGTTAGGTTAATTAAGAGACGTTGAATTGTGTAAGTCTTATGTTCCTCTTTTTTTTATTATTTATTCCATCCGAGCATTGGTGATAAGACAGAGCGAGTAAAATGACCTCTTAAGTGTACGTGTATTAAGAGGACGTCATATTCTTATGTGCTGTCTCAGTCCAGCTAACAGGCAATATAGCAAAATCTACCTTACGCAAACTATGCAGAACTCGCTTAATTTTGGTTTTAAAATCAATTATTATAAAATTAAAAGAGTACATTATTCCGGAGGGCAAGACGATGCGTTTTTTCTATTATTCTAATTATTATTCCGAATATAACATTCGATACATCGTTTAAAAATAAAAACGAATTCATCATTTTAAAACTACTATAATATTTCAAAAACGAATTTAAAAAAGAAACGCATCGTCTTTCCCTCCGGAATATTTTTCCATTTTAATCCTATAATAGGTGTTTTTACACTAAAATTAAAATTAAGCAAAGTCTACGCAGTCTGTATAAGATAAATTTTGCTATATTAGCCGTTAGTAGTTGGACTGAGACAGTACATGCGGGTATAACGTCCTCTTAAATTTATCTAGAATTTCAATTACATAATATTTAGATACTCGATAAACTAGCGAGCTATGATGTAGATCTAAAGAGCTGGTACCTGAAATCGCTGGAAGAATGAAAGGAGTGTGGAAAAAAGGCTGCACCAATCTTAGGGTTGACAACCTTTAAGTTAAGAGAATATAATGTTTCTATTTATTTTACATATTTGTGCAGGAGTATAATAGTGCAATAGTAATTAAGTCACCTACTATATATATTATTATTGTGTGTTATTACTCATTACTCATTACATGTTTATAACACACGAGTATATTGCCCATGATGTTTTCAACACATTTGACTTGAGCTGAATTAATAATATGAATGCCAATAATATTTTTCAAATACAAAAATCATCGTTCTGTTTAAAGGCAAGGTATTAAATATTATCATTATGCTTTTAAACGTTGGTATTTTAAAATCTAATTTACCGTAGTAAATACGATTTATTATGGTACGTTAATCGTTTAAATCGTCTTTTTTTTTACGTCATAGCAGCAGCTGTTATGACGTAAAAATATGAAAAAAAATCCACAGCTGCTGTAATATACGTAATAATGTATTATATAGGTATTGTGGGGAACACAACAATATTATGATTAATTGGTTTTCTAAGGGAAATCGCACACTTATTTCTAGAAATAATTGAATTCGTTATAATACTTACTAATAGGTAACAATTATCACGGTTTTCGAAAAATATGTATTTCGCTGATTTTATTTAATATATCTATTATATTTGAAGATTTATTATTATCGTACTGCGCGGGTGTACAAATATTTGTAATTTATTTTTCACTCTTCAATTTACGTCATTGGCGTCGTGACGCCTATGTTATTCACAGCATGTGCGTGTGTACAGTGTACCTACCTAAAACTGTATGGCGACATTTCGAAACGGTCATCAATAAGGTACAAAAATATTAGGTATGTTCGGCCTACACCGATTTTTTTTTTTTTTTACAAAATATTGTATGTATAGAAGAACTGCAGTTTTTTACACCCACAACGAAAATTATAAGGCTAGCTCACCACACCGGATATTTTCGATTGGTTGTTTTCGTTGTCCATGCGAGATAAAATATACATATGTATATGTACAAATATATTTGTAAATTCACTCAAGTGTTATATGAGCATTGCACCAGGAAATACGATATACCTACAGTAGGTACAGTAGGTACCTATAATATTATAATCGCGAAACTCCTTCCCACCTGTTAATACAGATAATTTTAATGTGTAGGCAATTTATGTTCATCTTTGTAGCATATTGATACTTTTTATAATAACAATAATTAGGTAACATCTTTTTTTTTTTTTTTTTATTTATATAATCGTTTGAGTTTTATTTTTGACACTGTTACCTAATTTTCTAAGCCATAAAAAAATTACAATATTTATCATGAAAAAAAAAAACTAAATTTATTTGTTTTCTTCGAATCTCAATACCTAGATGTATAATTATGTTTTATGATAATATGTTATTACATTATCAAAGAAATTCCGAAAAAAATTCTAAATTTTAAAATGCTGTAATCAGAGACGTATGTAATACGTTCAATGGGACAAGGATGAGTAATTAATAATCACGATTCATGATTATATCGTAGAATGTTTTTCTGTTATACCTAACCCAATACCCAACAGTGTAGATACGAAATGAAAGATTTCATTGGACTAACAGACATCACGGACGAAATTATAGGAATCATTGAATACTGGGAAAAGAAAGGATTGCAATTTTAAAAAGAAAATACTGACCGACACGAGAAAAAGAAGAAGATCCAACAATGAGAGTTTAGAAGCCCAATTCAATAAATCAAGATTATTTCACTGTAACTTGGCTTAAATATTTTAAGATAAAATTACTAAATAAATGTTCGTAGTTGTAGTATTCTTTTAAGCTAATGGGGAGGGGGAAAATAAATCCAACCCATTCCCTAGTTAGTATTTTTTTTAAATAATTATTATTTTATCACGTCTTAAAATATTGTGATACCCCCTAGTAATGTAACGTCCAGGACTCCCATGCTCTCCCCTAAATACGTCCCTGTAGATTGTAATCATTGAATAGACACGATAATATTATTACATGAAATGTTATATAATACGTAAAATGGAACTAAATTCGTCAATCGATTTGTATAATCACAGTAAAAAATACTATGGGTACTAATTATTATTAAAAATATTTTTATTTTTTTTTTCATATAATCCGAAACTGCGAGGAGTGATAGAAAGTCTACTCCACTTTTTTTCTATTTCATTGTTTTCAGTTCACACCGATGGACTATATGCATACATATATATATATATATATATTTTATGAAACAATAACGTAGTAATTTATGCAGACGAATACAGGTATGTGTGGCAATTAATTAGGTAGAAAAGTATAATATAATATTATATTGTGTATCGTAACGATTTCTACAATATACTATATACTTTTTATTTTTTTATTTTTATATTATACAGTTTACTCGAGTATATTTTACTATATACGCGCTATACGTATTATAATACTGTTGTGTGAAAAATCTTACGGCCCGCATGTGTCAAAACGAAACAATATTATTATTATTAGAAAAAAAAAATAAATACAAAATACAAAACAAACCGCCGCCGCTGTTGACTTCCGTGAGAGGACTGGAGTAGAAAGTTTCGAGTACGGTCACGATCGTCGTCGCAGTCGTCGCCGCAACCGATTCGGCAGTATTATAATATACTACCTATACCGTATAAGATTTTTGTTTGTGTATTTCACACTGTGTTTTGAAACGTCACCGTCGCAAAATGTAAATCTTACGTTCGATCTACAATAATAATTATTGTTTGTAAAGTGCGGCGTTATGGTGCTGCAGCATGCTGCTACGATGAACGACGTGCGACTTCGATATTGCAACGCGCAGGATTAAAAAATAGAAACCGCCATGACAAATGATAATATTATACAATAATATATAATATATGCAGCGTGCACACTGGAATTCTGTCACTTATTAAAAAAAAAAAATGTCTTTTTTAGACTACCTATAATTTTAATCACGTTATTATAACATTTCGAACGGTTCGAACACATTATTATCTGTTTTGAATATACCTATAATATTGAATTTATAGTTATTAAACTGTAAATGAAAAAAAGGTAAAAATCGTGAACAACGTACAATAAATATATGCTCTGGTCAAAATCGTCGTTGCTTAAAAAAAAAATAAATAATAATAATAATCGTTTTATTGCGAAATACATATTATACGAATGGATACATTGAGCGAATTTAATACGTAACATTTTATTCCGGTTCCATAAATGGGCAACGGATCGCTCGGGAAAATTAAAAAATAACTATGCAAAATAGCGATTAAATTTTTTACTCACGGATATCCTCCGGATTCGTGACCATAAATCTTATTTTATTATACGGAAAGACGAACGCGGTATTATAATATTTTCGTGTTTCGTTTACCGATAATAGTATTATAATAATCACAGTTACCCTACATATATTATAAATTATTATCTGCGACAGTAATGTATTATGCAAACCTGGTCGTCATTATCGTCTATAACGGCGTCATGGTGACTTCAACGAATAACTTTTTTGGAAAGTGATAAAAATCGTGCATTTTGCGAAATCAAACGTTCATTTCCCCAGAATCCCCTCCTCAAATCAAAACCATATGTACATTATTATTTTAAATTTTGTTGTTTGCGAAAATATTTTATAAAAAAAAAAAAAAAATGTTCGTATATAAACATATTATCAGAACATTATGTTATGAGAATTATTATTAAAAGGTTGTGTCTTGTTAACGAATGGTGTATACGCCTAATGGTTTCGACAAGATTGATAAACGTGATAGATAACATATTATGAATACATTTTAATGGACGATAACTCTAATGCAGCCTAGGAGTTATCCATTATGTAAATATAATGGAGGAAAACACTACATTTATATACAAAAAAAAGCATACTGTTAATGACGAAGATAATGCAACTGGAAATTGGAACAGAAAAACCAAAAGAAAAAGAAAATCTTATTTAAGTTTAAGTCCTCATTTTGAGTTTTTGTATCTAAACTCAAACAAATTATCTATAAACCTTTTTACGGTTTTGAAGAACGGATAACGATTCATGAGTGGAAGAACTCAGAGCTTTACAAATAAAGGACCATACAAAATAAATCCGCAATATTATAACGTGTGCTTTTGACACTATATAGTATTTCTCATAATGTTAGTAATGTGTGATAACTGATGGCAACAAATATTTAATAAAAACGATGTAACGTTTATAAGTTCTACTTTTATAAAATTTATTGTAAACAAAAAAAACGGTCAGAACGCTAAACAGTAAACACAATTTGTTCTTACTAGATGATAAGTGTTATGAAGTTGTTAATTGGTATTTTTGTTATTATTATAATTGTAATTATAGGTAATTACATTACCTTAATTTATCCAATTGTTTTGTAAATTCAATTAAATAAAATCAATAATGAAAACAGGTAAATAATAAATTAAAAGTGTGTGTAGACGAATAACTAACAAATTAACAGAAGTTATTTCTCTAGAACCGACTAAAAATAGTGTACATTATTATTTTATATTACGTTTGCAATTTGTTTGTAAATGTTTGCCATTGGTGTTATATATAATATACAGTTTATTTAGTCCCAATAACTTTAAAATGCTAAAAACTTTTTTTTGATTTTCTTTATGAACGATATGTAAAATAATAACGTAAATTTTTCGATTGTTGGAGGGGGGAGGCTAGAGAAATCCACATTTTCACCATCGAAATCCAGATCGAGGTTGATGTGTATATATAATTTAAGTGGTAGAAACATATATATAAATATGTACGCACGTCCAGGTAATCGCTGTTAAAAAAAAAATGTAAACACGAGGAAGTATCTGCGTCGACAGTTCGACGTACATATAATAGTGATAATAGGTGATCGAAAAATTGATGTCAAGTTCGGCCCGTGACCGATCGGATTCGTTTCGGATCCGCGATTCGAGGCGCTCGCGGCCGTGCGATAGCCGGATAGCAGCACGCGCGAATTAAACAATAATAATATTTCGATAGTGTCGTACACATGCGTATTTTCACGTACATTTTTAATTTAATAATAATATAGTGATAGTGTATAATGATGCAGACACTTATATTTTTTGGGTATGTCCGTACGATCGCTGCAGCGTACTAATAATTTGACGCGCGTCACGTGGGATTCGTAATAATGTGAGTATTTATATATATACGTATATTGTATATTAGGGTAGTCCTTATTTTTGATCTTTCAAATTTTCGATTTCTTACCCTATTCTATTTTGTTCATTACTATATAAGAAAGTAAGTAATTTTCGGTAAATTTAGTCATGCGATTACTCAACCCCTTCACTTGCCACAAAGGGGTTGAACAACTCCAAAATAGGATTGATGTGTCAATTTTCGAATTGAATTTAAAAAAAATATATTATATTATTATATGTATGTATAAATTCGATTAAATATTATCTTAATAAATACCGCGAGTTCGGAAATGAAATTAGTTTGTTATTATGACTTTTTTTTGATCTATTACAAATTACATTTAATAGTGGGTAAATTGGAAAATATTAAAAACTATAGGTATTGACGGGAATCAAATGTAGTATTTGGTTCTTTAGCCCATCTCCGTGACTTCTGAAATCACGGTTTATCACGGGTTATCACTAGTATTATCAATTCTTAACAATATTACGGTTGTAAAAATCGTATTCTTAATGTAATAATATTGACTAGTGTAATAGTGACGTCATTTGGAAAATTTGCAGTAATTAAGCCAATATTGCTCCATCAGTTTAACTTTTAGCCGTGTCTTAAGTCAACATTCTATCATTTGAGTCCAGATGGAAAAAAGTCAAAATATTGGGAAAAAGTAGATTTTCTTATTTCCACGACTTTTAACGATGGTTCTACCTATTTTCGCTATATCTATTCTCTTTACAACCGAGTATGTGTAGACAAATGTAGGTTTATATACCTATTACGAAGAGAGCGATATTCAGTGGTAGTGAGAACATTGTGTTAATTTTTTTGATAACTATTTGTAATTCGTCTTTTCCAGTCATTCGGCCAGTTCACGCCGACAAAATCGAAATTAAGATTATAATATAGGCGGTAGGTATTTACGATCCAGACTATTATATTAAAGCCACGGGTATTGTTTGTTGTTATTAAAAACCTATTCATTTTTTTGCTTTCGACGTATGCGCGCTCGCGATATTTTTTGTTAGGTACCCGCGAGTATTTAGGTGAGCGCGGAGCGAGTAGGACTGAATTATTCATGACGAACACCGAGAGAGTCAGGCTATTGTTCACCGCCCCGATGACCGTATCGCCCGAGCTCGCGTCGTCTTATAATATTATAATAATAATAATAATAATAATAATACTATTATCATACGTGTATGATACGCGAGTATGTGTTTATAATAATATTATTATAACGACATCATCACGAAAGACACGACACGCCTAATTGAGAATTCGCACGTGCAGTCTCGACGAAGACAACGATATTTTACTTACTATTTTTTTTGTCCCCTCTTATCATTTTTTTTTTTTTTGCGTTTTTTCTTTTACGTCATTGCTGCCACCGCCGCGCCGTGTCGCGTTCTTCTGACAAGCGAAACAAATGAGGGTTTTTTTTTTTAAGCCGTGTTAGGCTTGCGCGTATAATAGGTAAGTATTCTTATAGTGTTATACGCACGCGAGCGGTTATTAATGGACAAGGCGGCGGCGAGCAAACACGCGCGAAACCGAAATATAGCGTACCCTATATTATAACAACACACACGCACACACACTCTGTACAATAAAAACGACAATTGTATGTAATAATATAATATAATAATATTACGTATTTACACAATAAATAAGGCGTGTGGAGTGTATCTGACCGACCTATATATTATAATGTATTATTACGACTGTTTAGAAGGCTATTATTATTATTATTATTATTATTAGCGTAAGAGTGACAAATTTTTCGACATTCAGTTTTTTTCCCCGTCGTCGTTTATTAAAACGTCATAATGGCATTTGCCGTCTCCGTTATTCTAAACGAGCGATATAGCGAAAATGTGTTCGGAATGTTCGGATCAAACGAAAAGGCCATTAAAATCGGTTTTAGAGATTAAAATGTACGTTTAATAAAAATATTTGTAGACGGAAACTTTTTGAGGATAATTTTATCAGCGTTTTTTTTTGAAATATCAATTCTACTAAAAAATTTATAGTTATTTGCAAAAAATAAAAATTTATTTAAAATACGTGCTATGAAAACCTTTTAATGTGGTGATTTCATCGTGAGATTGTAATCGCAAAATGACGTGTGATGAAATTTCGCATGCATCCAATGGTCTCGCGTCGAAATGACCGCGGTCAACCCTCAAAATGTTACCGTCTTCACATTTTATAACAGTTTTTATTTTTAAACTCGATTATAAAGGTCTTTTTGTTACGTGAACAAATGTTTTCTACATACTGACCGTTGAAACGAATGAAACGTAAATGTCACTGTCCTTAATAGGATGTGTACTCAAATGTACCTACTGCATCCGTTTTACACATGTAGAAACGTACGATACACAATGTAGTAAATCTAATTTCAGAGGAGACAACTTCGTATTGTAAACTTTAACATTAACATTAAAATGAATTGACCTATTATCTAATACAATGATAAGAACATAATTTGTGCAACGTTTGGCGCTATTATTTCGAAATTTAAATTTTTTAGCGATATATATCTACGTAACATTGTTAATTTGTGAAATTTTACATACTTATAAATATCTTTGTTAAAAATTAAAATATCAAAAATACCGTCAACGTTGCAACACGCATGTTCTTTTATTTAAATTCAATTTAAGATTAATGGGTCAATTCACTTTAATAATAAAACTTAAAGCACAATGTTATACTTATTGAACACAAGTTTGTTATCTTGTACCTACGTTTCTAAGACGGAGACGACGTATGCTGGTATTTCGCCGTCGTAAGTGTAAGCGCGGCATTATATTTTATTTTATCGATGTTTAAGTGCTTCACTCATAAACGAAAAAAATTTACCTACGATCGTGGCAGTTATTAATGTGCGGATTGCGGGTCCATAAACCACGACTAAACATATATAAGTATGAATGTATGATGACAATTTTGTGACGTAGGCGTTGTGATCGCCACTGGTAGACATTTTGTCAGTTATATGTAAAAACCTAGAACTATAGGTGCACCTTGACCACCAACTTTGGAGGTGCTAAAATTATACACAGCACAGATCATTGAATGAAATGTCACAACAATCCCGTTCACACGACACTTATAATAAGCAACTACACATTTCATTTATAATTTGTTACATACAAATATATCATAATTTTTAGATTCGGAAAGTAGCGAAAACTGTATTAGTTTTAAACAATTTTTTGATTTTCCAAGTAGTTTTCATTATATAACTGGGAAAAATCAAAAAAGGCGAAAAATGAAAACTGATAAATTCACGACGTTAAAGTTTCATCATTTTACATTTGTACACTTTATGTTTTCTACCAGAAATATTGCAATAATAAGAGATCATTGTTGTTTAATTTTTAATCTAGTTGGTAAGTAAAAAAGCCGTTTTTATATTTTTTTTTTTTTTTGTAGTTTTTTTAATACTTGAGGAAAATCGAAAAAAACGTAGAAATAACGGACAAATGTACGAAAATAATGATTTTATTATTTTCAATGTTGTTGTTTTGTTGTAATTTAGTTAAGAATATTTATATGAGCTTGATATTATATTTGCTTTTTCTAGACGTGGTTAAATTTTCATAACATTTTAATCATTTTTAAGCTATTTCTATAAATTTTAATTTTACGAGTTACTTACGTAATTTTTATTCGGTACTCTGTGGATAAAATTTTTAGACTAAACAGAAATTTTTGTAAATTAAACAGGAGGTTTATTAAAAGGCGTCTTTTGTGGTGAAAAAAAATTAGTTGTATTTAACTTACCTTTTTTTTTATAAGAATTTTAATATCAAATTTTAACGAAATCTTAAATATTATAGCCTTTCAAATCATAGTATAACCGAACTTCGTTTCGAATCGTTTTTCATTATTAGTGGTTTGTCTTTACTTACAGGTAAATTAATATTTAGCGGATACCACAAAAAATTGTATTGAATATTTGTATAAGTGCTAAACACTCCCTAGCATCCCCCATTCCCAAGTGGCGCTTATGCCTAGAACAGAAAGCGATCGATTATGAACAAAATGGGGTTATGATGATATAATAATATTGTTGTTTTCGTTGCTAAAAAAATCATGTGTATTTCAAAAAAAAAATAATAAGAATAAACGCGTTGTATTTAAAGGCCTTTAAAAAATAAAAATAAACTATTTTTGAATAGGTAGCAAGACTCGCAAGTAACAAACCATATATAGGTAAAACTCCTAAAAAACGCAAAAATTATACAAGTAATATAGTAATAATAATAATAAATGAATCTAGTCCAATCGTATATTATAAATGTTTTTTTTTTTTTTTGGACTCTCCTCATTATTCGATAATATTATTACGAGTGTACGTAATACGTTATAATCGTCATAGCATTACAAAAAGGACATTCCGTCGAGGGTTTTGTCGTGAGTTTTCGTCGGAACTGCAATTCTTTCCTTGGACATTATAATAATGTACCTATATAAATTATATAGTATTACACAACTTTGCAGCAGGATATTATTCGGTACTCGCAGCCACCGTCGATCAGTGAATAATGTATAAAATTTATAATATGGAAATCAGACCGATAACCGTAATGTGTAATTTTAAAGTGCCAAATTACGTTACACGTATACATATTTGACTTGCACATTATGCAGTTATGTATCGTTTTTACATATTACATATTATGCATAATATTAAACATAAACTTCGCAACAAAACATTTTATGTACCGTACCCAATAGAATTACCATCATCACAGTGTATAATACACACAGTATAATATAATATTATAATAATGGCGTGTATAGGTAAGTGATTTAATACGCATTTTAAACACGTTTGACGACCGTAAACTGCACACTTATACGTGTACAATAGACGAATTATCCAGTGTTCGAATTCATATTGACATAGGTACCTACCATTATAAATAATGTTTATAAGATAAAATTATAACTATTGATTATTACTTTGAATAATATGTCTCACTGCCACAACGTATATCTTCACACTTGTAGCATCTTCTTATCTTTTGCCTCTTTTTTCAAATATTTAGGGGGTCAGTCACATGAGCGCCCATGAGATAATTTTCAGAGGTGGGATCTTGGTCCTAAGTCTTCACTTGTCTACCAAGTCCATTATTAGAGCATTATATATATTTATTTTTGTTGTTATATTCAATGTATTATCATGTTCATTTTTTCGCTAAAATCTTGAATACTTGTTTATACTACTTATACTTATGCTTATACTTATACTTCATGAAAATCATAGCATCGTTTGACAACCCGATAACCTACTGCAGTGTTTTTCACTCTTTCTCTAGGAATTTTCCGCCAAAGATCAAAGTCTTCTTTTTAATAATAATTGTTCATACGTTTAATAATGACGATTCGTATTGGACGTATAATAGATACTAATTGTTATTATCGATTCGCAATCTTTTTGGACAAGTTCCCACTTCGTACATGACTTCTCAGTAGGTAATATGATGTATAGGTCAGGTTTATGAACGTTTGTTTTGTCAAAATATTATATTGTAATATATGCAATCTAAACTGATAAAACACCATAATAATGGGCGTGTAAAATCTTAGGTCAGAAACATGAAAATCGTACAAACATTATACTTACTCGTACAAATCGTCGTCGGATCGATATAAACATAGAATAATTGATTGCGAATTATAATATACTGTATGGAAAAATCAGTGGGCGATCGATTTGTATTTTATTATTATACTGTCAAGTCAGTTAGAGCAAAGGACGAATCATGACAACGATGACGATAAAAAATATAGCGCACTAAAGATTGAACCATCTATATCGTTGTGTGTAATATTATATGGGAACATGTTAATACGGATACACGTCATTTGTGTCACGAGTTCGTTTGATCATCAGATACATACTGTATTATAGTATGTATATAATATGCTCATTCTTGATGACCCTGTCAATTGCGGAACATTTCAATGAGCTCGTACATCTACCAACTTTGACACGGATCCTAACACATATAATAGGGTATTATATCATCACTATATTAGCTATAGCAAGGGTTCTCAATCTTTTGGAATCAGGCCCCTCTTCATTACTTTAACATTGAAATATATATACATATAAATGTGTGTATGTTCCGTGGGGTTTTTAAAAATGTTCACACCTCCCTAGAGAGGCGCGCCTTCCAGGTTGAGAATTCTTGAGCTATAGTGTAATCCGTTATACTAATATTCTTTTATCACTATAGACGTAATATACGGTTGGTAATTTTCTAAAATTTTAACTTATATTCACCGGTACTAATATACACCATTGTTTAAATCAAGAACATATGTACACAAGTCAATTTTTTTTGAAAATTTATTTATTATTTTTTTTTTTTATAACGGTATACATACTAGGGAAATTATAATACATAGTATATCACGAAGTGTACCGTGTTTTCCTAATATTTAGGTCCCGGAGAACGCACATTTTTACTATTCTTTTCGGCACTGCAGTCTATATTGTGCATTACAAGAAATACGACGAATCATAAAACTGATATACGATGATATAAACCCCACAATATACCGTCATAATAATATTACAAAAGTAAGTGGGTACCAACTGAAGTTTTGGTAGAGTCAAATCTTTGGTGGTGTTTTCATTAAATATAAATGTTATTTTTACGTAAATATCGTGTTATATGTAATAACAGAAAAAAAAAAAAAAAAAAAAACGTTTAAACATCTTTTAGTATACCTACGCGGATACACGTTTTTCAACAATAAAATTTACATTTTGTCATGTGTATGCTGCACATCGACCGTATAAAGCGATTAGTTTCGTTTTTTTTTTGTGTCGACTTAGCCGAAATATTATAATGAGACGACATAAACCCATTTCGTATGAAATCCGAACGAAAATATCGCCTCTGTTAAATTTACTTAAAAAAGAAGTAAAAAAAGAACTAATAATAAAACCGACTATTGTTGTGTATAAAATTACGTATTCCACGCTGGAATTCAAATATATTATTACCAGTTTACCTATGTATTTGTATATATAATATATAGTTGTCATTCGCGTGGACATCATACGGTTTTCTTAGTCCTCATTCTGTTTTATGGCTGCAGTGTTATATTAAGTGCAGTAGGAAATGCCGTTTTCGTCCGTCGCGTCGTCATAACCGTACAAATTATTCCGATTGAATAGGTTTACGTTAGAAAATACGTATGCCTACGGTTATTATATGTACGAGGGAAATTGGAAAAAAAAGTGAATTAAAAATATATCAAATCTAAACAGCCAATAGCTGTTATACAGCCGTACAATTCGCAGGCAGTTGCATAGGTATGGGTCAAAGAGTCGTGTTCGGGATCAGCCGAACGCGTGCTCGGTTTCGGTCACGACCAGAGTTCTATATGATATTATTATAATATTCGTTGTAATCACTGTTATTATAATATTATTGTTGTTTAAGCGAGAAAACCGACGGCGGCGGCGGTCCACATCGGGAGAGACATTTTATTTCACATTCGCAAAATCACGCGTGCCCACGATTGACGACTCTAAAGTATAGGTCAATATAATATCAGGTGCTTATATATAACAATATAAATTGCAGTTTCTGTTAACTGTTGTCTGGTAACTATGCCGCTTAGATCGCCGGAAACCACGAAACGTTATTGCGCGCACTTTAAATTGCAGGACATTGCACATTATTGGTTTGTGTTTCAGACGGACAAAAAAATAATACCTAATAACAATAGAAACACCAATAATTATGATGCAAAAAAAAAGCGATTTAAAGTGCCTAATATATTATTATTGTACCGTTGAACACAGACTACGCGAGTCGAATAAATATATAATACATAATAATTCATCAATAAAACTATATTTTTATACGATCGAGACCACAAATTTGGTTTAATGATACGAAAATCATTTTTATTTTATAACAGTTTAAATTTTTTTATGATGAATGTATTGAAAATTAGTTAATTTCCTAATCTACAAACAGCCGAGAGGTTAAAAAAGGGTAAAGTTATTTAAAAAAAAAAAATCAAGACATACTTCGAAGAATAGGTAGGCTACTGTTGTGAGTCTAGGCCTCTAGGACTCGGGAACGTACAATTTACTTTATATACTGGACTCTACAACAAATCACTGCAATCAAAAAACGATTCTCAGTAAAACACTGTAAACTTAAGATAGTTAATAGAATATTTGTTTTTTTTTTTTTTACACGTTTTTTTAGCTTGCTGCAAGAACCTAGAAATAAACAAAAATAAAATTGATGTATCGTTTTTTGTTTTCAGCTTTTTTAAAAAGCTGTGGGGAATGTAAACAATTTTTTCAAATATTATACTGCCGATCCGAAATTTCACATCTTTTAAAGACAGCGAAAAAGAATTAGACCTTCTTTTACTCATTGTAAACATATTTTCCAAAATATATCGTAGTAAAACAAATACGTTTTTTACTAAACTTAGAATCTAAAATAAACAAAATACAAATTAAATTTTTGATAAAATAAAGATTAATAAAGATTAGATAAATTAAGATTAAAGATTAATTTATTAAATATAATTCTATATCTACCCATTTTCGCTGTACTATAATAAATATAAAAGTTGAAAAACAAAATTCAGGGTTTTAGATATTATTGTGCAAACCATCTATACTAAAAATTCCATAGTTGATATTATATTATATAGTATCTAAAAGTGTTTGATCTGTAAATTAAAACTAAAAAACCAATGAATTACATAATCAAAGTATAGATATTTCAGTATTGTTAAAAATTATAACGCATATTTTGATTAAGTGGTGAGGTTAGATTTAATCGAAATCTTGACCTTCCTTTTGTAGTAGGTAAGTATGCGCAGAATGTGTCTGTATCTGTTGAATAGGATACTCACGGAAGGTTAATTTTAAAAGGTTAATGAGAGTTAAAATAATACGCATAATATTAATTGCTTTAAAACAAATCGCGTTAAACCATTATGAAATATAAGACTTTGAACTTGATACAGATATTTTGTTTAGGATACACTTCATAATACGATTTATTAGCACATAATTAATACAAAATATGATTTAAAATGTTTTATTCTATCTATAATGTATTTAATTGTTTATGATCTTTATAATTAGCGCATTTTATGCACATGTAAATAAAATAACGAAACCGGAAAACTTGTATTGTTCAACATTAAAATTGAATAAACTTTAAATTGCATACACGATTTAAGAGTTCCAACATTGATAAACGAAATGTTTGCAATCCCTTTACATCACGTGCATCAAGCGTTTAACGAATCGTTTATCATTTAAATTACGCAATAATTTGTATGTAATATCCGTTTAGCTCGCACATTAACGATGATGGTCTCTGTAGGCTTATTTACGTATATAGATGCTTACTTATTGTCACACCCAATGAAATTGCTTCACATTCACGAAAATATTAAAAAAAAAACATTCCCCTATAGTATACACATTATAATATTATACCGGTCGAGTTTAACGATCCGACCTTGTCCTCGATCTATAAGTCACTATACCAATACAATATACTTGTATACTAAACGAACTTAACCGACAGCTCCTAATGTATTTATATTATATGTAGTATATATATAAATATATTATTAATTTGCTGTTAATTTAGTGCACCGAAGGGGACACCTACTGTTCCAGGTCGTCGATCACTATAGTTGTGCCCAACTGAGACGACATTTGTTTACAATGGAGACAGACCACCGCGTGCGGGACGAAGGTTATCTGCACTTGCGTAGGCACTTGTGTCTATTACGCTAAAACAAAACCCCCACGATTCATACAGTCGTAACATTTTCAAAACAAAAGATTTGCTATTTTATTGTTTTTAGCTCACCGTCATGTAGTAAAAAAAAATTATAATAATAATACAAATTAGAAAAAAACCCAGTCAATCTAATTAATTTATGAGTCCAATTATTATTGACATGGGAAGTTATGCCTATACTAGTTAGCTAAAAATGCATTAAAATATTACAGAAAATATTTATTTAGAAACATTAGTAGGTACTAAACCGATTTTATTATTCTTTAAGTATACCTATACATAATGATCAACTAGGTACTCGTATAATTTCATGGTAACTTTAAAAATATATTAATAGACGGATAATCCTATGATAGTCTTTGCTATTTTTTATGGCCCCTACTTGTAAATTACAATGGATTTTATAAAAAAAAAAATATATTTAGCTTAAAACAATAAGACATCGATCGTTGATAGTTTAGTGATAAGAATCGATTACAAGTTAAACATATCTTAAATACACGTAATAAAACTTGATTTGAAATTAAGTTTCGTTGGTAATTCTGAATAAACGTAACTGTACCAAAAATATTAATATAATTATATTTGAAAAGTGTGGGATGAAGATACAAACCAAATAATCTCAGTTTATGTTTTATAAATTATTCGATATTTCGATTAACTATAGAAGTTTGTACATTTTATTAATTTAAGACTGTAGTGAGTATACCTACGCATATATCCTAAAACAGCGAAATTGATTGTGTATACGAAATTACAGGATTTTTTTTTTTTTAGAAAATTAGTTAGGTACCTACACCGCGAATGGATACTGTTATTAAGCGCCTCGAGGATTAAACGGATCGATTTCTTATGTATAAAAAACGATTTACTACGTAAATTTACTAAGTATTTATTACGAACGCATTTGAAGTGAAAGAGATGCTGTAATATATAGATAATGTTTATGCTCATCAAAATATCATTTTTTCAGGCTGACTCAGAGTAATCATTTCACGTGGTTATGTCATATTATACAATCATCATGTGATTAAATAGAATTTTTTTTTTAATAATAATAATCAAAAACGTTTTAATATACAAGGTATACTATATAAAGTAAAAGCTCATATTACCTATATATAGAACTTCTACGTGTTTTGCAGGCTGTTAATCAAATTTTCTAATCAATTCAGAAAATTCAGATATAATCATTTCTGTATAATATCGTATGTGTTTCTTTCAATTATATTATATTATTCTTTGTAGAATTATTTTAGACGATGTTTCACAAGATAGTCCGCAGGGAGATTTTTGGAAAATTCTTTTTGAATCAATGATGTAACCAGGCACAACAATAGATCAATTATTATCGACGCATCAATTGCAGGAATGCGTTGGCGATACAATGAAAAATCTTAGTGTTATATTATTACTCCGAAATAATAATTATATTTGTCAAAAATAATCTTAATCATATTCGATGCATTGATTACCTCAAGCTAAAGAAATCATGACCTCGGCGGTCAAGTTCTGTATCTATCACTATCATATACAACAACCCATAAACGTATATATATATATATACGTTAAAAAGGTTAATGAGAGTTAAAATAATACGCATAATATTAATTGCTTTAAAACAAATCGCGTCAAACCATTATTAAATATAAGACTTTGAACTTGATACAGATATTTTGTATAGGATACACTTCATAATACGATTTATTAGCACATAACTAATACAAAATATGATTTAAAATGTTTTATTCTATCTATAATGTATTTAATTGTTTATGAATAATTAGCGCATTTTATGCACATGTAAATAAAATAACGAAACCGGAAAACTTGTATTATTTAACATTAAAATTGAATAAACTTTAGATTGCATACACGAAATAAGAGTTCCAACATTGATAAACGAAATGTTTGCAATCCCTTTACTTCACGTGCATCAAGCGTTTAACGAATCGTTTATCATTTAAATTACGCAATAATTTGTATGTAAACATTATATATATATATACATAAATCTAGACTCACGTTCTCAATAAAATTATAAAATAAAACCAGATCATTTTACATCGGGAATGATTATTATATGATAATTATAATAATATATGCTAACGTTAATTTTAAATTTTATTAAATCAATAAATTCAAAATCTTATTATTTTTTCTAAAAATGCGTTTGTATATTTTATACCTATTGTAAGTCACTAGAAAGTTAACGTTTTGTATTCATACTTCATAGCCATATTATGATTTATCTTGCAATACGCCGAGCGAGTACATTACTGAACAGTTGATATATAGGTATCTACATAATCATAACTTTGTAATGTTTTTATTTTCTCGTACATGACAATATCATATACATTTATATGGTCGCATTCGATTGTCACGCATCATATGAAATAGTAAGTAAAAAAATATTTAAATATTATAATGTTATATGTGTAATATGTACTCGTATGTTGACTATTCACATTGATTTTTAATAGGCGAGGAAAACCAATTTTGTTGTTGTCGGAGGTTATTGGTCTTTGTATTTTTAACGGGCAATATAGTAAAAATGTGTTCATGTAAAACAAACGAAAATACCTTCAAAATAGTTTTTAGAGATAAAACATATATTATACAATTTACAGGTTACACTATTTTAAAGACAAACGGTCTTTTACGATTCTCTAAAATACTGAGTTCATTATCGATAAGGAAGTATAAACAAATCGTATTTTCCATTTGTTTTGATTTTCTTAATAACTGTAACCAAAAATAACTGATGAGATTATTTTCAAAATATTACCATCTACAAACTGTACTGCGGGTTTTCTTAATCTCTAAAACTGATTAAACTGATTTTAAAGGCTTTTTCGTTTATTTAACGTGGACAAATGTTTGCTATATTTCCCGTTAGAAAGACTGAAACGGCAAATTTTACTGTCACATGGCCTCTTATCACGCTTACACTTACTATACACCGATGTATATAATTTTATTCGTCAAAAGATTTATTATTTTCTTGATAAACCTGCCTACCCAGACGAAACAAAATTGTATGTGAAAATTGTTATTAAAGATAATATGTTATGTTTGAAATATTTTAAACCGTGGTCATCCAAATTCTATTTCATTAACAATAAAAATAATATAATACGTAACAATTATAAATATCAACACGTTTTCGTTTATCACGTAGTTATGGGTACCTAAAAAAAATATTCAACTAGAAATGTACAGTTGTTTAAATCAAAATTTAACATGACTGTCCATCATAATGTGTTTTTGGCAATATCTTTTAGAAAAAAACCTCGAAAATATTCTACTCTTTAAAAATATTCCGTAATTTTATTATGTTGCCCGGTAGCTAAGCACTGGGACAGTAAAAGCGTCAATTAGTTTTAATGTTGTCTCTGGCTGTTTTTCATAGGCACCGATATTATTTGATAGCCATCTTAGAGTATTCAGACAATGATACTAACAATTTCGTAAAAATTAATAATATTTTTAATTGACCCGCCATTGTAATATTATTTACTAAAACGATGTAGTCAATGAAATCATTTACACATTTAATGAAATAAATTTAAATTTATATGGGTCAAATATAGGTAAACAATAATCCATTTCATCTGATCGACTTTAAATAATTGCCAAAAAATGATAAATGATATATAATAACAAACTTCGAAATTAGCAAATCGCCATAAAATTAATGATAATAAATATTACCTAATTTTTAAAATTTAAAATCACCCAAGTTATTAACTTGTTAGTATATAGTTTTGGTTTGGATATAGACATGTTCAGACAAATATTATTTACCAGAATATGAAATAGACTTACAAATTATTAGATAATTCCTTAGTTTGGTAATGGAGGAAAATGGTCGAGATTTATTGATATTATTACTATAGGAAAATAGATGGCAGAAGAAAACGGTGTCATCGATATCAGATTTTTGGAAAAATATCTCATCGGTCAAATGTATAACAGATATAACATTAGCTGAGCGATTTAATCAGAAATGTTATAACGACTATACCTATTCAGTTTATAAAATTATAGCATTGTCTGATTTATTAAAGTCATCATAAACTCATAAATATAATGTGTTCATTAAAGGTATTGTCCAACGTGCCCAAGTATATTACGAATTGGTTCAATCTCTTTATTGACTATGTTTACAGTATTTCCGGTAACATTATAACACACCATCATAACGGACAACGGTAGTGTTGTAACTCAAAAAGTACGAATTTGATTTATGTCATTTTACCTATAGTAAAAATGCAACTACAAAATCAAACGAGTTGAACGGGACAATTTCATAAGGTGTCGAGAAAAAATACTGCTACAAATGCAATAATGTAGTATTTCAAATTAATACACTACCTACTGCATTATAGTTCTATCATTTGTTTGGTGAGTATTTTAGTAAACAAAAAATAGTGAATTTGGTCATGTGATTTAAAAATGCTTTTTTTTGTTCCCAAAATCCGACGGTTTTTCGATTTACTATACCGTCTGGCAATAGTGCGAATATTGCGGAAAGAACGCAATTAAAGTGTTAGATTCGACTCACTTGGATCACGCAGAAGAAGACGGTCGTCAGGCGCGTGACCCACGACACTTCGGGGATCCGGGTCGGCATGGTCCCTGTGCGGGGCGTCACGGCAAAGCAGCAGCTATACGGGCACAGTCGGCTAATCGGATCCCATCGGAAAACGCACGGCGCGGAAACGGGAATTATTTTGCGCGACGGATATTATAAAAGCGTGTCGGCGTTTACGCCGGGTAAAATGAAAATAAAATACAAAAATCGATCGGAAAAACGACCGGTCCGGCGGTGGTGGTGGTGATGTGCGCGGGTGATGTCGTCGCGCGTACCTGTACGTACCGGTTGTCGCGTGACGAATGAAAGCCGCACAGACGACCGTGCCGTGACGGACCGCCCGGAACCGGTCCCCGCAGACTCGATCGACGCCGCCGCCGAGTTCCCTCTACCGGTGGTCACCAGCTACCGGGCGGCGGAAATTGAAAGCGGAACTTCCGATGACGCGACCCAGACCGCGCACGGCATATCAGAACGGTCCCGGACCTGCACGGAATACGATCATCACGTCATATTCGCGCGCAACGCTATCCCGATTTAGTGGCGGCGCGTGAAAAATGTAGACGACTAAAGGAAGAATGTTTATTTTTATTGAAACATTGCGTATCGTTAAAAAAAAATGGATAAAGTAAAACATCTGTATATTTGAATAAAATTCAACTAGATTTTCCGATTTTAGATTCTGAGTGGAGCGAAGAAATTCATGATTTTACAAAGATACGTTTTATTTTTATTTTGTTTTCTGTGGTCAACTTTTCTACCAAAGGTGTTGCTCCGATTTTTACGTGTAGCACTTTTTCTGAAAGGAAATCGATGTGGTAGTACTATCGGGAGGTACTTTAACGAAATTATTTTTCGATTTGCTCAAGAGTTTTCTCAACAAATGTGAAAAACCGAAAAAAAAAAAACGCTAAAATGTACGAAATATATTGGTAAAATTTTACGATTATTTTTTTCTGTGGACAACTTTTCTACCAGTAATTTTGCTCTAATTTATAATGATAGAAATGTTTCTGAAAGACAATTTGACTGGTGAGGTACTTTAAGGAAGTCATCTTTCGATTTTCTCAAGTTTTCTTAACAAATGTGAAAAACCAGGAAAAAACATGGGAAAACCGGGAAAAACGTAAGAAAAATGGGAAAATCACTAAGTTAAACAAATATTATTAAAGATAGTATAAAATGTCTATTGAATTATTTTACCATAGTATGACATATATATTGTTGAAAAAGCATCACTATTAACTGAATTCCGCTCAGAATCATTTTTTTGTGATTAATCGTTAATGGTTAATTGTTGCATAACATATATTAAATTACATATAACAGTGGCTGCACCTATCTCTATTATCCTAGGACGTATTTTGTTTCATTGCAAATATATCATTATAATATTGTTAAAATATATGTTGACGTTTTATTACAAATCATTATAAAGATTAACCACATTAACCGTGGCCAGAAAGCTACTTATTTTTATAAAATATCACACTGAGACATGTCTCTTTCGAGTATTTACTTTCGGTAATACATCGTGATATATCCCCCATCCCCCCCCCCCGTTCACACCGGTATGCAAACGTTATCAATAATGAGACACATTTCAGTACGTCTCGGCCGATTCGACGGTTGTTTACCATTTTTTGGGAACGACGATTACGGTATAAATATAAGATGTAAAAAAAAATATCATGCCCATAATAGGTATTATAATATCGACACATAGACGAATCGAATAAGCCGAAATAACATTTTATTCATAAAATTATGTAGATGTAAAATACTATTGTAATATTTACTATAATTACTGACTTATTTTAAAATTTTAATTATTAGATAGTTTTTTTATTGCGTTGAATATTTAGAGTACTTGTATAATACGTAATATGTAATTATTGTAAAACGCCGACGAGATAGTCTTCAAAACGTACCTAGTCGAGTTTTATAATAGACGTATTATTTCTAAAGCTGATTTTGAAAGCCTTTTCGTTCGTTTCTCGTCAACGTATTACTGCTCAGACTACAGAGACTGCTAGTGCAACTGGTACGGCCTCTTAATTACCCGTCTTCAATGATATTATTACGTGTCAAACACCCGTGTCGTTGCTTTATTGAGTATAATATTCTACTAGTACTTATATACAGTTAGATTCATTTTTTAAAACGAACGGCTATTTTCTTTCATGCGGTCAGAAGTGCGAGAGATTAGGAGGTACGCATACGTATTCAACAGAATTATACACGATTATCCGGTCATCGTTGGCGTTAAAATATTTTTCACCATAAATATCGATAAAACAATAGATTTTTTGTACAAAACCACCTCGTATATAGTGTTTCTATATGGGGGCAATACTGTTGCAGTTTCACACGTTTTGAGCACGTAATGTCGACTACTTACTATGAACGCGAGAGATTATTATTGCTTCAACTCGACTGGAAAACCGCGTTACATATTATTATTATTATTATACAGAATATTTTTTAACAACCATTAATATCTATTATTATTATTATTATTATTATTATTATCAAACGGTGATTTTTTGATCGAGAAGTATTATGCTTTTTGCTAACACGGCACAGTCCATTAGAAACCATGCAGTGGACAAAGATTTTCGTCTACTTTGTATCCACTAAAATAATCTTTCGCCTTCATCCCAACTATTTGAGGTTGGCCATTCTTTTCCTAAACTTTTACTTGATATCGTCCTACTGATGACATCCTCATATATTATTCTCAATCGCATACAACCACCTTTTTTTCGGCTTTTCTCTTCCCCTCTTCCATCCTCGGTTTTTTTCAATATCATTTTTACTGCTTCCGATTTATTTTTCCTTATATGGCCAAACTATCCTCTAGAATAAATAGCAAGTTATTGATACATACTTTTTATATACTAGTTTTGAGGTTAGGTATAATTATACTCGTGGACATGTTTATTTTAACTTTTGAAGGGAGAAACGTAAGTGGATACGTAGTGTATTTATTCACTAAAATGTGTTGCTCGAATAAAATTTTGAATGTAAAATAAAGTACCATGATAATTATTATTGATTAAGAGTATAATTTCGACTTAGAATTAGAGGAACGAATCAATCAGATGTAACTTTTCCAGAGAACCGTTTTATTACACACATTTTTTTTAAAATGTATAATTCGTGTATTATAAATCGATTTTAAAAAAAATAGCCAATATTGTTAAAGAAAAAATTAGCTTTTAGTTGATACGTTCTTTTAATTCTAATCAAGCGATATGCGTTGCGATAATATTATTATCGTTCTGAAATTTAGTAGTCGTGTATATCTAATCAGATAATTTAACCTATTATTTTTTTAACGGAAATTACTCTTTGATCAGTATATTATATATATTTTATAACCGGATCCGTTTAGCAATCAATTATTTGACCATGGTGTAAAAGGAAATAATAATCAATTTAAAAAATAAAAAATAAAACACGGAAACCTATTGTTTTCGAAATGATAATAGTTCTATATATTATACCTATGTCTAAGTAGGTACATTGACATTTTCAAATTATTCTAATACGATGTTGAATAATATATTTAAACCATTGGAGTTTATATATTAGTGACACCAATTTTAATGTTTATACCGTATGAAATAGATACCTGGGTACCAGAGCTTATTTTAAGAATTTTTCGCAATACTAAGCCGAAAGCTCTCTAAAAAAATGTTCACAAGGTTCATACATAAACTTCTCCGATTTAAAAAATCTGCTAAGACACAAGTATATACGTATAGGCAAAAGAGTCATAACTAATGGGAATTATATTATATTTTGTAACTTTTTTAAAAATTTTAAACACGTTATTACGTATGTATAGATGCCCAAATTCGTAGAGACAACAGTAATTTGACAGTTCCTACTAATCAATTCGGGTCCTTCTATCCGTTCGAATGCCTATATATACTCGTGACAACTCGATCAGTTGCAAAATTTCTCATATCTATGTACCAAGACGTATTTTTCATATTTATTAATATTTTAATACAATTTATTGAGCTGGAGTGATATTTTTTACAAAATACAGATAATTTTAAAAATATTATTGTTCGATGATTGATGATTGTAATAATGTGCAACAATCTATGTATATAAAAATTAATGTCTGTCTATCTGTATGTCCTTTATAGACTCAAAAACTATTGGACGGATTTTAACGATGTTTTTTGCAAAATATTCCGCGTAGTTCGGAGAAGGTTTATAGCTATTAACCTTTTTTTAAATAAAATCTCTAAAGAATAGCTGAAACAGGGATTTTGATATTTTGTGGTATAATTTTTGTTGATTGGGTTATTTTGGTAGTAATACTTTCATTATTTTTATTGATTATGTAGTATCTATGATCACAACGTATCTATGGTGCCCACTAAATATTACTTGTTAATTTTATTGTAGAGCAACAACGGTTAACTGCAGTAATAGTGACGGAAAATGAAACAAGAAATCTAGGAGGAAATCGTTTTTGTTACACATCATTTGGCACGGACAACGCCGGGCGGGATAGCTAGTTTTGTTATAAAAGTTGCAAAAATATATTAAGACATATTTTATGTCAGTGTTCGTAATATATGTTAACGAAAAGTGAAAACATTAAAACTGATAAACTTAATAACATAAAAAATTCCTGAAAAAATCCTTAAATTGATATTTTAAATCAAATTGATATGGTTATTCAATTAAAATTTGATACGAGTTTAAGATAGGCCGCACATTCCCGCGCAGGAAAACGATTCAAATAAAATAAACATATAATCTATACAAGGAAGGGGAAATTACAACTCCTTTTGTATACCTATATATTTAAATAATAATAATAAGTACATTATTTAACTACATAAATTTAATAATATATTCCTTATTATTTATATCGACGATTTTACTGTAATTATTTAGGTACCCGTTCGACGATTGAAATTGAATTTAAATAAAGATATCAGCAAATATCAATATGACTAGGTAATTATTTCAATTCAAACACGCGTATTTCTATTCGATTGTTTTATGTACGTACCAACTTGTAAATTATGAATTGTATATAAAAATACACCTCTTCTCATGCATAAAATTGTCCTTGTACAGGGATTGTGCAATTAGTATAGGTACGCACCTATATATGTTGTGTTGTTTAGGTATGTATTGTTGCAACTCAAAACTGTTTTCAGTTATAAAACTATATCAATGTCAATGTTACATTACCGTGGCATGCATGATGTCCAAAAGCGGTACCCTCCCGGCATCCACGTGGGATGTCCGTCCGAAGGCGGATTCGCAAAATAAGACGCAAATATTATAATAATAAATGCTCTTAATTTACGTTGACCTTGTACCATGAAAACATAATATTTAAATCGTTTTTTTTTTTGTCTTTTTGTCTTGACGAGGAGAAAAATTGTTGAATTCAACGTCGGCATATTATAATATTCTTGTAATAGGTATACAGCGTTTTAGGAAATCCCATTGAAAATATTATATCTTTAGCATGGATTATAATACAATATGCTGTACGAAAAAAAAATATATTATCAATGAAGCGTAATATAGTAATATCATCCGTGGGATAGTGAACGCTGGGATAAGTATATAAAAGTAAGTATCTATAAGTAATGGGAAAATCCTTGAAGTTTTCTCATACGCACAAAAACTTTATTGAATCAAAATATATTTTCCGAATAAATACACCACTCTACAGATTACAAATTAGGGAGCGTTTCAAGGATATTGTCTTATAATATTATCAAACAACAACAATAATTTGCACAGTCATATTTGCCGTAGATACTTATTTGTATTACCGAATATACATTATTATTTTTGCACTTGGTAGTTGTATACACTTAATGTGTTTATAATAAAACACGTTGTATTTTGTATCTTCCTTCAAAATTTTAACGTTTGCGAATATTTCGAACGGAAAAAAATATACATTATAATAGTATCCACATCGATATTTATATGTACAAACATTACAAACTGCTGCGAGAACTGATTACGATAATAGTATTATAGTACCTGCAGTATACTTACGGTATAAAGAACTTTAGAAATTTAGCAATAGATCATGATGAATAATCAATACACATAATATATTTATTTATATATAATGTTTTGGTGAAAGTGAACCTTCGGGCCGCCGTGTTTTTAATGTTTATAGGGCTTATATACGGGTATTTGTATAATATCATTTCAGTTGTTAAATCGTGGTGGAACTGCAGCAGTCTAGTCCCAAGGACTTTTGTTCGCGGGTACGTATATATATATATACATATATAATGTAATATAATCCAGTATAATTAGATCTATAAAACGATATAGAGTTAATAATAATAATAATAAAATCTAAAGATATTAATATTAAAGATAAATATATTATTGACTACCGAAATGTTATCGGTATAGCGGAGCCAAGTACCTGCACAACTCAAAAAACAATAGGAATTTAACGCAAGAACATTAAATTTAACACATTGTTAAAATATCTTATGGTTTATTAACATTCCTGCGAGATTGCTAGAGGTGTGAATTCGTATCCATAAACAATAAGTCGATTGTTTTAATATTATATTATAAACTAATATAGATTTCCGACTATATAGGTAATATACAGAGATCAATTAACTTTCCGAATCAAAAATTGCATCAGACGGATTATATATAGCCGGACTTTTAATTAAATATCAGTCTTATTAATAACAATAATGTATAGGTATTAATTGAAATATCGCATCGGGGCTGGGTGACATTGCCTATAGGTAACATTATGAATTAATTAATGTTCAGACATAGGTAGGTATAATCTTTTGAATTATTTACGAGATGTAAGACCACTACAGAACGAGGCATGATAAATTAAATTACATTAAAATATTATGAATGTTATGATAATTCGATTTGTAGTGTTTGTACACTTTTTTTTTTTTTTTTTATGCGGAAATTCTACGAGAATTGCGGCAAACTGCGCCAGTTAGACTTGTTTTAAAGGTACAGCAACCGTACAATATACGTATAGTACGCCAAGAAATAAAACTCGTGTAAAACATTATTAATATTTTATTAATTATTGCGTTAACTGAATAATTTTTACTCGTTTACCTATCTGTCGTATTTTTCATATAATAACATTTGAGGATTGTCCATTTGTCCATTGTTTTATATATATAAATAATAATAAAATTATAACAATAATTAAACACGATTTTGTAATTACAATCTTAACTAATTATGCGACTATCTCAAATATTATTGTAGAAATAAATTCACTGGATAACTTGTCGCGGTTACTAATACGCAGATGACATTCTAAAGATAATACACACATTTAATTATTTTACGTATTTTGAAGGTCCTATAAATACACATACCTACATGTAGCTTACCCATTTACGAACGAACGTGATCTTTGAGAAGCGATTGCTTCTCGATTTTTTTTAGGATTTAAATATGAAACAAATATATATATTTTATAATAATAATATATTTTAATATGAAACAAACTAAGTATTAATACGCTTTTACTTCTAATTTAGTAAAAATAGTTGAAAATATTAGTGAACGAGTAGTGGGCACTGGGTAGGTTATAAGTGCTTCTGGATTATTCTAAGTTCGTTTCGAAACTGAGATTATCATTTTTATAGATGGGAGTAGATTAAAAACTATAAGAATAATTTTGTCGCAAAAATCGTTATTTGATATTTTATTTCAAAAATTATGTATACGTATAAATTATGTATGTAGAAGAAGATGACCCAATTCAAATATTAATGCCCAGACCAAACTTCTAGACCTTAAGACTTGAATTTTGTTAGTATATTATCGTCTTTCTTGATGTGGGGGTGAGATGAAAAAGGATTTTTGAAAATTTTATCATCTTAACTAACAGGAGGCTTACACAGGGAATTCGTCGTTAAAAAATACGAAAATTACATTTTCTTCATTATGTTCGTTCCCATACATATAGTTGTGCAATCAGGAACAGGGGTAGGCGTTTATATCACCTCCTCCGAAATATTTTCAGATGAATTCATATAAATACGTATACTAGTTGCATCATTAGTATTAAAATTTATAATTTACAATCACAGATATTTAGAATTTTTAAATACGTGCACGTCGCGCATGTCACCTATTTAGTAATTCGTTATCCTAAAATATGTCTGGAAATTTGTTTAAAATTCATAATCCCCTATCCCCCAACCCCTTTGAAAATGAATCCTGATGGCGCCACTATCTATACGTAAATCTTAAGCAGAATCAACAAACAAATTCTAAGTGAACTATGGTTTTACCCGATGTTTCGTCAATTATTTACTACGTATATATAAAAAAAAATACGCTCCAAATCTAAACAATTGACCTTGAAACACACATATTGTTGTATATCGCTACAACTTTTATACATATATATATATATATATATATATGCATATAACAAGGTCTATACGTGGATTTAATTCAGATAATAATGTATACCATACCTATAATAATATATAAATATTATTTTTATTTCGGTAAAATATAAAATAGGTGTGATGGTACGGAAGCAAAACAAAAAAAAAAAAAAAAATAATATATTCGCAATGGAATAATCGCATCATAATATTGCATAATGATAATCAAAACATAATATTACTCGGGTATTAATATCACCACAATACCACTATATTATAAGTAAATCTTGCCAAGTCTGTACGTAACAGTAGTAGAACGTGTTCCTGTATGTTCGTATACCAACTGCATTAGGTATAATATTATAATATAGGTGACAAAAATATTCGTTTCAGATATATTGGCTTTAAATATTACGCGTATTTTGTAAATTAGTTTAACGTAGACGGTTACTATAACAGAAAAAAATAAATAAATACTGGTTTGTATTATATCATAAAAAAACCTACAAAAATTAGCGTATAACTAGAGAAATGTATTTTAAATTGAAGAAATATTATTTAATCGGTTTTTTCCCGTGCTAAATTTTCACTCTATAATACATTTATTAGTTTATATTAACATATGAGCAACACCTTTATTCCACCTTTGATAATTTACACAAAATATATAATTTTTTGCAATTAAATTTCATTTTTTCTTCACTAAAATGCCCTGTTAATTTTTTTGTAAAAGTTTCCATTACAAATATATTTGTATTTGTATATATTCACAAGTATACTTAATAGAAATATTTAAACAGAAATAGCCAACAATTGTTTGACAATGTGTAAAAAAAGTACTCGCGAAGTTATTACTAATGTGTTTGTTCGAAATCTACAAGTCAATTCCAGAGGAACAAGATTAGGTTAGGCTAGGTTAGGTTTAGACAACAAAACTTTCACCCATACCTAATTTGATAGGCGTGATAAAACAAATAAAATAACAGATTTTCATTCATAACCTAGTAGAATCTATGTTCTTAATATATACCTATGCGTATAAAAACCTATTTAATTACTTGTAAAATAAACCCTAAATACTTTACACCACGGACAGACCATTTCTAAAATAGATGGTAAGTTTATTAGGATATATTATGCATGTTAGGTAACTTAATTTATAAATCAAAAGAAAAACAATAAATTATTACAATAAAAACAAAAAAAAATTCTGAACGGAATAGTGTACTGAGAAATTCGTGCTTTTCCACCTTGTACAGCCCAGAAATCCAGGTCCCACAGGTAACCCAGAAATCAACAAAAATTAAGACATGTGTGTACTGACATTAATAATTGTTGTCGGATTTTTCCTGAACTTTTTAGACAAATTTTCGGAAATTACAAAAAATATTTCAAATTGAGCGGACACCTTAAAGCAAAAATCCGTATACTTAAAAGTCCGCGATTTTTTCGCAAACGGCCTTAGATAATAAAAATATTATACATGTGACTGGACTTACGATTACGATAGCATACGATCCGAAATCCATGGTAACAGGTAATATTGTGTCCGCGGACGACTGTTGTAAGTATAAAAATACCCAAATAGCGGTTTATGGCGGCAATCGATTTACACAGGTCGACGCGAATTGACAATGTTATTATAAAACGAAGGCGCGCGCCACGGCAGGTACTACAGTCGCACTCAGCGCGTATCGGCTGTTATTGGGACGGCGAAGACGCGGACACATCGGCGACACGGGAGTTGGCGGCGCGACCGGCCTGGACGTTATGATGTCCCGGCAGCTGCAGGTGCGCGTGACGGCGGCGACGGTGCGTGTGCCATTTCGGACCGCGGGCCGCCGCCGTCGTCCCATGCCCACTCGCGGTACCTGCCCACGCGCGGCACGCGGCACGCCCCGGTTCGCGAATGTCCGATACAGTCTCGCGACTACGGTATAAATCTATAAAAGCAATAATAATACCTATAATATTATAATGCAAAAGAGATTTACTTATTTTTTTTTTTTTATTCATTACTATTATAACGTCTGGAATGAGCCGCGTTGCAGTTGTGTAACGTCGCCGCCGTCCCCAGATTCATCGTTTCGACCCCCTCGCGCTGCGCGTAAATAATCACACGATCGTGTGAAAACTACTATATAGTTCAGAGATACCATATTATAACATTATACAGCATACAGGCGTACGACAACAATGATAACAGATAATACAATAATGTTTAATATAATAACATTTACGTGTATTACATTAATATTCACTGCGATACCGGCAGATATAATAGCGCGCGGACGAGTGATAGTGCGGGAGAGAGAGACGGTGAGAGAGTGAGAGAGTGCGAGAGAGAGAGAGGTACGCCAACGCCGTCGACGACAGTGCGGTCCGCGAGAGACTTGACCCGGGGCAACACGTTTATTTCGTTATACGCGCGCACGACGACGACGGCCGACGGGAATTTGATGAAACGGATACCGAGCGGCGGCGGGCACGAGGAAACGGCACACAAAACGATGACGCAACGACCGTGTTATATATTACCGCCGCCACTGACCACTCGGCATAACCTACACGTACATAATATTAAAATATTCTTTGTACATTAGGTGCATACGGTTTGGTGTTGTTTGATTGATACGGGGAGAGCGAGAGAGAGAAAGAGTAGGGAGAGACCCGGCAGAGAGAGGGCGTGAGAAGAAGCAGAGAAAGATACCAACGACGACGGGGGAGTTATATGTATACTAATAATAATATTATTGTATTTATAATATTATTATACTCGAAAGGCGAAGTCTTTGTCTTGGGGGGGAGCAGGAGGGAGACTTACACAACGCAAAACGTACCGTGACAACTGCATGGGCAGCAACAGCAGTAGCAGTGTAGATCCAGGCACGCTGGACTGGCTGCCGTCGCGACAATGACGATGACGGGGAAAAAACGTACGATTATTTGGGAGAGTTTGTTGAAAAACAATACAATACAATACAATGCAACAAACGGTGACGCCTTCTGTTGAGGCTGGTAAAACGGTTCTATGGTGCATTTCCTCTCCCATCAATATTTCTGTATTAAAACTTTATTTTTTTTTCTGTGAACAACTTTGCTACCAGCAGTTCTGTTTAGATTTTCAAGTAAAGCACATTTTATGAAAGGAAAACAAGAAACTGTACAAAATGTATTATTATTTTAAATTCGTAAATATAACGGCTTTTTAAAACATGTGTAACCAAACTGCGCTCAGAATCTTTTTTCGGTAGTAGAAATTAATCGTTGCGTACAGGTATACATTAAATTCCTTTCTATATTCTACCTTCCAAACTTCTCATCAACTGCAACAGTGGCCTACCCATTATGCGAAGTATTTCTGTATCTTTTAGATTCTAATTGTAGCGAAAATATATTAGTTTTACAAAGATGTTTATTAATATTTTTTTTTTATGTAAACATAAAAAAACATTTTCTACCAGAAAAATTAAACCGATGTATACGATGTAGACCTTTTTTTGAAAAAAAATTTTCTTGGGATGATACTTTAAGGAGGACATTTTTCCATTCTCTGATCAAACATGAAAAACCGAAAAATCTTAGAAAAAACGGGAAAATATACGAAGTATATTAATAAAATATTACGGTTTTTTTTTCCTGTGGACAATTTTTCTACCAGAAATTTTGCTCAGATTTCCAATGATAGCAATGTTTCTAAAACGAAATTTAACTGGAAAGATACTTTAAAGAGGTAATTTTTCGATTTTCTCAAGTTTTCTCAGCAAATGTGAAAAACCGAGAAAAACATGGGAAAATCGGTACAATATTAAACAAATATTAAAGAAAATATATTGTTTGATTATTTTACCATAATATGACATATATATTATTGGCAAAGCAACACTATCAATTGAACTCCGCTTTGTCGTTTTTCGTTAACAAAGATTAATCGTTGCGTACAGATATACATTAAATTCCCCTCTACATCTTACTTTCCCAACTTCTTATCTACAACAGTGTCCCACACATTGTGCGAAGTATGTCCGTTTCTTTTGTACTTTATTTTTACTGAGCAGGCATATGCGTAGAATAATATTTGGAGGGCAGAAGGTACAGTTTATTATGATACTCTATCAGCATAACATTTTTATGAACAAATGTGTGTAAGAGAAAAACATTTCGGAAATGTTGTCTCCACGATAGGTTTCCCGAAAGTTTGGTTAGGTTTAGTTACCTAGTTCTCGGAACGACTCTCAATTTTCCGTAATTATAGTCCTCCTTCGAATTTTTTACCCACTTTAACCATTGTGTAGCAAATAGTTTATTGTATAGTAACTATAATACAGTACACAAATATATTATAAACATCACGTGCGATTCATTGCAAAAACATACGAGACCGTCCGTCATTGTCATCTACACATTCTCGTATCCATAGATATAATATACAACGACAATGAGAGATAATAATATTATTAAACCGTATAGTTGTATTTTATTAAGCGCACGTTAAAAATGGTGATATATTATGTAAATAAATATCGGTACATATACTGTATATCTACATTTACCGCAAACATTAGTCATAAAATAGTCAAAACGTAAAGTATTTCAAATACAAACATCTCTTCGACCAAATAATATTATTTGTGTTTTTTTTCAAATCAGTTTTAATAAAAATAAAATGAGTACCGACAATTTGCAAATTACATAATATGTGCGGTGTTGACAATTTGGTTTTTTTTTTGTAATGTTCAAGTTCTTATGTATCTAGTTATAGGTGTGGCTACTTATATTTGATTTATTTTATAATGTCAAACGTAACATAACAATTGGTGGCCTATTTAACTACGATAATTTATGTAAATACGCATCACAAACGTAATAATAATGTACAATATTATAGCATTTAAGTTATTTATAGATTTTATATAGTAAAATCTTTCTAAAAAGGATTTTGTTCGTCCCACTAGTTCTGTAGTCGCATGTATAAAATCGATTTTATCACTTATATGAGTGTATTTTTTACGTTTTAGGTTTCATTGAAATATTTCCATTGCAGGTACATGATGTATATTATACACACTCAAACGGTGTTATAAATTAGTCGTGGGAGGGAGAAGTATAAAACAAATCGATGTAAAGGTATGTGTAAATGTATATTATGGAAACTACAAACCAATTGTGTGCAGTTTACCTTACCCATTTCACCAACCTTGTATCCTACTTGAATGACAAATATTTGTTTAAGTCGAATAATATTATATTTGTCAGTTTGTTTAGTCTTTAGCGAATTCATTAAGAACTCCATCCTTTGGAAATTTTGAAATAAATTTACCATTGACATTGCTTATTGCTTATATGATTCATTAATTATACGCAGGTGATTATTATGATGTATATGTGGGTAAGAATATATAAATCGCAAATTAGTCGAATAATTTATCGCTTTTTGCACGTTAAGTAGCATACCTGTATCCTCAAATATTGTAGTTAAACATATTCTCGATCGTCAAGGTTACGTCAGAACTACTTCACTATAAAAGCCTTAACAGTCAATAACTATAGCAAATTATTTTCTTAAACAATATAACATAATCTACAATTTTCTATTTTCATTTACGAAATAAATTATTAATTTGTACTGTTAGGTACTTAGGTAGGTAGATTAGGTTACTTACCTACGTACGACGAACGTATAATATATGAACGTCAATTTAATTACATTATAAAAATACAGACTATTAATTATATTACGAGTATATAATTGAAACAATCAAGAAATATTACAAAATAGGATCAGATTACGGAAACTAGGTATATGGTACTTGATAACTTTTTTTAATGGAAAGTGTTTTTTTTTTTAAATTTAAAACGTAGCAGAAAGTCTTCTTAACGATTGAATTTAACATCTTCCGGTTTATCTATTTGATTTTGAGCACAACGAGGAAGTTATTTTTTAATTGCACAGTTAAAACAAACCTATATCAGGAAACCATACCCTGCAACTTTCGATTTTCTATAGGTATTAAGTTATTGTACCACAATAAATAAATAATAATTTCAAACGTTGAAACGGAATGTGGTCGTAATGCTTTAGACAACAGTTTGTATGTTATAACATAATATACGCCATACAGTTAATTTAAAATTTCTATTTGTTCAATACGGTTATTAATATCGCATACATGTATTATAACACTATATAAATGTATTGTGATCCATACAAATTCTAATTTATCATGTGATTTCTTAAAAAGAAAAAAAAACCCAATGGTTTTTGAAGTACATATTGGCTATTATACGAATAAAAAAATTGAGTCCTGGGCTTACTTTCTTAGAAGTGTATACAATTATGTGTATGTAATAATAATTACTGTGTCTGTACAAGTACCAGTTCTCTCTCATGAGAATTATCAATAACGCAATTGTATTATTATATTTCACTATAAGCAGAAAATACGCGTTTGCTTATCAATGAATGATTTTCATTTTTTTTTTTTCAAATAAATTGTTATACTTGACAGTAATTGTACGAGACAAAATTCACATACATTCTTTGATACGCAGAGCGAATTACCTATACCTATAAATTATGTAAGGTTGTTTCAATTGATTGTAATTATTTGAAATCCCGAAAGACGAGACATAAAATAAAATAATAAAAATATAGTTGTAAAATCCTACTGGCTATTAGAATTATAAATATTCAAAATGCAAAGGCTAATATGTGAGTATATTTATATATTTGTTTCATGAATTTTAACTTTTGTTACTTTAAAGCTACGAAAAACGATTCTGACCGAAGTTCGCTTATATAGTATGATTAAAAAGGCTG